ACTGCCTACAGGATTTTTAACTGATCGGGACCTCTTGCCTACAGGACTTTCAACTGATCGGGACCTACTGCCTACAAGAATTTTAACTGATCGGGCCCCACTTGTATAAAACATCTCAACTTGAGATTTCCTCAAGTCGAGATTTTCCTCAGCTAATATCTCCATGAAAATATCTTTTATTGAAAACCTCAAGGAATTTCAGGACATCCTAGCCGACGCCTTCGTCCTATTCCTTGAGAAAATTTTATACAAGCCGTTTTTGAGGAGATATCAGCTTTTAACAAGTTGAGATGTTTTATACAAGTGGGGCCAGGACCTACTGCCTACAGAACTTTTAACTGATCGGCACCTACTGCCTAAAGGACTTTTAAGTAATTGGGACCTACTACCTTCAGGACTGTTAACTGATCTGGACCTACTGCCTACAGGACTTTATACCCTCAGTGAACTTTCTCTTGTTTCACTCCCATACTCCCTCTATACCCTCAGTCTTTCTCTCGTCTCACCCCACACTCCCTCTCTACCCTCAATGAACTTTCTCTCGTCTCACCCCAACACCCCCTCTATATCCTCAGTGAGCTTTCTCTCGTCTCAACCCCACACCCCCTCTACCCTCAATGAACTTTCTCTCGTCTCACCCCAACAACCCCTCTATACCTCAGTGAACTTTCTCTCGTCTCATCCCACACTCCCTTTATACCCTCAGTGAACTTTCTCTCGTCTCATCCCCACACTCCCTCTACATTCTCAGTGAACATTCTCTCGTCTCATCCCATACTCCCTCACTACCCTCAATGAACTTTCCATCGTTTCACCCCAAACTCCCTCTCCGCCCTCAATGAACTTTCTCTCGTCTCAACCCTACACTCCATCTATACCCTCAGTGAACTTTCTCTCGTCTCACCCCCTCTATTCCCTCAGTGAACCTTCTATTATCTCTCCCCACACTCCCTCTTTACCCTCAGTGAACTTCCTCTCGTCTCACAACCACACTCCCTCTTTTCCCTCAGCGAACTTCCTCTCGTCTCACCGCTTCTATACCCTCAGTGAACTGACTCTCGCCTCATCCCCACATCCCCTCTACACCCTCAGTGAACTTTCTCTCGTCTCACCCCTACACTCCCTCCATACCCTCAGTGAACTTTCTCTCGTCTCATCCCATATTCATCTATACCTTCAGTGAACTTCCTCTTGTCTCACTCTACACTCCCATTATATCCTCTTTCTCCCGTCTCACCCCAACTCTCCCTCTTTATCCTCAGTGAACTTTCTCTCGTCTCACCCCAATACCCCCACTATATCCTCAGTGAGCTTTCTCTCGTCTCAACCCCACAACCCCTCTATACCTCAGTGAACGTTCTCTCGTATCACCCCAACACCCCCTCTACACCCTCAGTGAGCTTTCTCTCGTTTCACCCCCACACTCCCTCTGTATCCTCAATGAGCTTTCTCTCGTCTCACTCCCACACCCCCTCTATACCCTCAGTGAGCTTTCTCTCGTCTCACCCCCACACCCCCTCTATACCCTCAGTGAACTTTCTCTCGTCTCACCCCTACACCCCCTCTATACCCTCAGTGAGCTTTCTCTCGTCTCAACCCTACACTCCATCTATACCCTCAGTGAACTTTCTCTCGTCTCACCCCCTCTATTCCCTCAGTGAACCTTCTATGATCTCTCCCCACACTCCCTCTTTACCCTCAGTGAACTTCCTCTCGTCTCACAACCACACTCCCTCTTTTCCCTCAGCGAACTCACCGCTTCTATACCCTCAGTGAACTGACTCTGCCTCATCCCCACATCCCCTTACACCCTCAGTGAACTTTCTCTCGTCTCACCCCTACACTCCCTCCATACCCTCAGTGAAGTCTCATCCCATATTCATCTATCTTCAGTGAACTTCCTCTTGTCTCACTCTACACTCCCATTATATCCTCTTTCTCCCGTCTCACCCCAACTCTCCCTCTTTATCCTCAGTGAACTTTCTCTCGTCTCACCCCAATACCCCCACTATATCCTCAGTGAGCTTTCTCTCGTCTCAACCCCACAATCCCTCTATACCTCAGTGAACGTTCTCTCGTCACCCCAACACCCCCTCTACACCCTCAGTGAGCTTTCTCTGTTTCACCCCCACACTCCCTCTGTATCCTCAATGAGCTTTCTCTCGTCTCACTCCCACACCCCCCTATACCCTCAGTGACACCCCCACACCCCCTCTATACCCTCAGTGAACTTTCTCTCGTCTCACCCCTACACCCCCTCTATACCCTCAGTGAACTTTCTCTCGTCTCACCCCCACACCCCCTCTATACCCTCAGTGAACGTTCTCTCGTCTCACTCCGGCCGTACCACTTTCGTTCAGTAGGATGTTAGCTGTGTTGTTTTCATTGGCTCCTAGATAACAACAATACAAACAAACGGGCACCAGTAAGGACGATAGTTTGTTATCTACATTCTACAATTTATAGGTAGGTTACATAATCATGAATTGAGCAGACATCCAAATAGATACTTGAACTTTGAAATATAAATAACAAATAATTTTTTTTTTAAATACATAAAACAGACTTAAATGATTAATTCTGTATTTCAATTTCGTGTTCGTTCAGGTTTTCTGTTTTCTGCAATGAATAAAATTCATCACTTTTACCTCAATATGAAATGTTTTGTGACTTACCAATTATATTGAAAGATGTTATTAATTAAGAAAAGTAAAATGACATTTTCCCTTGTGATATCATAAGAACCTGTTATCAGACCTGTAGCTCTGCACGTACTTCCAACGTGTTATATAAAGTGAAAATACACAGAAGAGAGTCTCGCATCAATAAAAATCACTCACTGTGCAGGATTACACAGAGATATTTAAGCTCAGCTACATTTCTACATGTGTATTCAATCAGAAAACCTTTGATGTAAAAAAAAAAAAGCAATTTCATTGAGTTCGTCGAAATGTAACGATAGTAAAACATCAAACTGATATTTTCCGATTGGCTTCGGTGTGAAACAAGCCATTTTGTGTTAATAATCTTTGTAAGATAAATAAGCTCTGATATGGAATATTACGGTTTTCCTACATGAGATTTATAATATTTGATTATCGATACTATAATTAGCTAAGTTTATTTCATTTTTCATTCCTATGAAAACTGCAATGATGACCCAACGTCCGACAGAAATCGCATCATCCGACAGATATCGCAACGTCCGACAGAAATCGCAACGTCCGGCAGAAATCGCAACGTCCGACAGAAATCGCAACGTCCGGCAGAAATCGCAACGTCCGACAGATATCGCAACATCCGACAGAAATCACATCCGACAGAAATCGCAACGTTTAGCAGAAATCGCAACGTCCGACAGATATCGCAACATCCGACAGAAATCGCAACATCCGACAGAAATCGCAACGTTTAGCAGAAATCGCAACGTCCGACAGAAATCGCAACGTTCAGCAGAAATCGCAACGTCCGACAGATATCGCAACATCCGACAGAAATCGCAACGTTTAGCAGAAATCGCAACGTCCGACAGAAATCGCAACGTTCAGCAGAAATCGCAACGTCCGACAGATATCGCAACGTCCGACAGAAATCGCAACATCCGGCAGAAATCGCAACGTCAGGCAGAAATCACAACGTCCGACAGAAATCGCAACGTCCGGCAGAAATCGAGAGACAAAAGAGAGAATTTTATTGTCTGTTTGTGTGCTTGTTTTACAGTTAATTGGTTAAGATAATCATGGTATTTCACAAGTTACAAAGTATGTAAGTGTATTTTGTTTCATAGGGAAGGAGAAAAGTAATGAGGTTCATATTGTAGCACGCGACGTTTGGAGCGACATTTGTAGCACGCGGTGTTGTGAACGACAATGTAGCACGCGATGTTGTGAACGACATTTGTAGCACGCGATGTTGTGAACATTTGTAGCCCGCGATGTTGTGGACGACATTTGTAGCACGCGATGTTGTGAACATTTGTAGCACGCGATGTTGTGAACGACATTTGTAGCACGCGATGTTGTGAACATTTGTAGCCCGCGATGTTGTGGATGACATTTGTAGCACGCGATGTTGTGAACGACATTTGTAGCACGCGATGTTGTGAACGACATTTGTAGCACGCGATGTTGTGAACATTTGTAGCCCGCGATGTTGTGAACGACATTTATAGCACGCGATGTTGTGAACGACATTTGTAGCACGCGATGTTGTGAACATTTGTAGCCCGCGATGTTGTGAACGACATTTATAGCACGCGATGTTGTGAACGACATTTGTAGCACGCGATGTTGTGAACATTTGTAGCCCGCGATGTTGCGAACGACATTTGTAGCACGCGATGTTGTGAACGGCATTTGTAGCACGCGATGTTGTGAACATTTGTAGCCCGCGATGTTGTGAACGACATTTGTAGCACGCGATGTTGTGAACGACATTTGTAGCACGCGATGTTGTGAACGACATATCGTCGTGGAGCAATTATTTGCGCAGATTTTCAATCTATGTTGCCGGACGAATAGGAAATATCCTATTGTTGTGTGTGTTCATCAAAATAATAAATATAGCTAGAGTCAGCTCTGTTCATCGGAAACCCTGACAACGTATCAAGCTGCCCATGTAAATCGAGAAGGGAACTCTCAAAATTCTGATACAACAGAAGTACCTTGATTTATAATGATCTTGGGTAAAACTGATCCGAATAAAACATAGAGTACGACTTGATATCTTTACTGCTGCACACCGACGACTTGGTACAAGATAAACATTTAACTGTTAAGGACAAACGCTTTCTTCTTTTGTTATAACCTTAAATCACGGAGACAAAAACTGCAGGTTGGCCCGGTATGTAGGACATGTGGTGTGAGCTGTATACATTAATAACCATGTGTACGTAGATTAGTCGCGTGGTTCCCCTCACGATCCCCCTAACTGGAATCCTGCAGTGTGTATAACGTATTCATTCATTCCTATCTCTCACACCTGTAGTGCAAAGGCCGACAATGAAGAAAACAGAAAACGGCACCGAAAAATTCGAGGAAGAAGGCAAAGTTTTCTTTGATAATGCTGAAGATACGACGAAAGGACTTAATAAACGAGAGACGTGGTCTACCAAACTCGACTTTCTCCTAGCTTGTGTGGGATTCTCGGTCGGGTTTGGAAATGTCTGGAGATTTCCATATCTGTGCTACAAAAACGGCGGAGGTGAGATTTATCAAGCAATTCTATTTGTTTACAATAATTCAATATTTTAGACTTGATAACCATGTATATAATAATGTTTTATATTAAATTTCCAGACATACCTATATACCAGGTAAATACATACAACATACACGACACACTTGGATAACCACATACTAAAACATTTTCACAAAAAGGTGAAAAGTGGATGTTGCAGATAAGTCAATATCAACGTATCAAAGAATGAGAATAACTAGCATTCTGTAACACCTTTAAACAAGTCTCTAAACATGTATAAACAATCTTAACAAGATGTAAATGGTCACGTGGGTTCGCGTCAAGTGTATCTTGGGGTTTTAGTGCTTAAGGCTTTTGAAATCATTAAGATGTTATACACCTAAAAGGATTTGTTAATTAGAGTCAAATTTATAATAATAGAATGCTGGATACCATTCCAGAAAGAAAACTGTGCGAGTATATTCTGTTTGTATGTTCTCTTGATCTGTCATCTCCAGTTGACATGTAGCGGGACAAAACGTCAATTTCCAGGTGTCAAATGTCATAAAACAAATTCTCAACGACATGTTATTTTATGTTATCTATTTACATACCGTATTGAAAGTTGGATTGTTTTATGAGTATAAAAAAACAACAGCGTCCTCAGCGAAATTTCTTTTTTAAGATGGCAAGTATCGCCACATTCTCTGCAGAAAGACTGAACCTACTGACGGATTTCTTTTATGTTTGATGGACTCAAGTTTACTCGTTGAGAACGTGACATTATTTGAATTGACCAAGATTTACATGGAAGGTGTCATTGATGAAGCAGAAGACGCTTACTCTTCCGGAACACCTGGTCTTATTCTCTTTGTACTTTTTTAGGAGTCTGAGTGTAAAACTTGCTTTTGTTCACATAATGCCATAGTTTTATTGAGTTTTAGTTTAAATTTTGATTGTGTTGACATACAAGTGTTGTCTTTTTTAATTGAATTTAATTTGTGTGTAATGATTATGTCGACATTTTGTGTGTAATGATTATGTCGACATTAAATTTTGTTAAATTAAATACAAACTGTCCAACAGAAATATCTAAAACTAATTCCTAAAGTGATTCCCTCTTTAAATTTAGACTTGTAGAGATAAAAAATCAGCGTCTGTTGTCTCTGGGCAAGTCACAAACAAGCTTTGTTTGTTTATCTGCTTTTAAGATTATATAACTCCACTTGGTTACGCGAACACATTTTTTTCCAGGTTCATATAACGTAAAAAGTATATATATATCTGTTTTCATGTGTTTAGAATAAATAACATCTTCTGCACTAAGTTATCGGTGAATAAGTTCAGTAATTCAATATTGCTCGGCTTTTTACTTTCTTTTGTATGTAATTAATTAACATGGTAAGCCAAGGTGCGGCTTCTGTGATGTAATTATATGTCACTTGATATTACTCGCAAGTTACAGGTAAAGTAATAACCACAAGCAGGTAAAAAAATAACATGAATAGTGTACCCTATCAACTTCACTTTAACGTTGACAACAGTCACATATCTGAATCAGATAATTTTACATGTAAAGAGTGCCAACTAGTTATTGGACTAAAAGCCACACCGCCATCCTTGCATCCTCGATAATCCAGGGGTTACGATCACTTTCACTCTCTACATACCTGGATAATGTCATTGGAAAATTGAAGGCACAAGCGAAGTAATTTGATTGGTTCCAGGAGAAATTACCTTGACCAATCACAGACTGATACGCTCCATTTAAAGAAACAAATGAGCGACACCAATATTCAAAGCCATTATAATATATGTGTAAACTAGTCTTTTCGTTTCGTCTACATCTCGCACACGGAACCTTCAATTCTGCTAGGAGTGCAGAGAGCGAAAGTGACTGTAACCCCTGGAGTATCGAGGATGCCTTACCGCTAGGAATACTAGTAAACAGTGGCAGAGTGACCTTTTCTCCGTAAATTGGATATATAAACAAACCGGAAAACAATAAATTCCGTTATCCAGTTGTAGCTTGTAAAATGCTACTACTTTTATCTGTAAACAGTGTCTATTTCCTTCGTGTAATTAATTTCCACGCGAGGATTATGTACTTATGTAATACAGGTGTATTGTAAGCAAAACAATGACTACGAATTATGACCGTAATTATTCAGAATGGCAAAGTCGGGCATATTTCGTTTACTCTCTTCGTCGAGCGGATAACTGCGGTTGCCGATGTCATGCACAATAAACCTAATGACACAAGGAGTAACAATAGACGGGACAGACCATACACCAACCCTCACACGCCATCACATACACACCTGATTATCTATGGACCGAGATAGAGGTAATGGTAAGGCTCTGTACATACTGAACCCATCTGCACATAACAACGAAAACAATAACACGTTTCGAGAATGCCTAGATTTCTCATCACTGCATTTTTTCACAGATTGCAGGAAAACGACGACACATTTTAAAATTTTAAAAATAATCACTGAATGATGTGGCACATGTATAAAACGATTATAATATCCTTCAAATTCTAGTTTTAAGGTCTGTCGCAAATCTGTTCCAATGAGATCACTGTAGGCTAGCGCGCTTGCCCAAAAATGGAATATATTAGAAAATAGAAACATTTTTAACGCGCATGAAGTAACAATAAGAAAGCCAAGTATATTTACTGTCAGTTAAAAGTATACAGTATGTGAAACACACATATATTTTGATCATAGATAGTAAATATTGCACAAATCATTTGATAAAAGTACCAAAAATAATTGGTGAATTTAATATGTGTATTACAGGCAAAAATGATAAATTTAACTTGTATAATAATACCATATACGACATGTATGATCATAGCAATTACAGCGTGTATCACGGCACATACAATACCAATTACAGCGTGTATCACGGCATATACAATACCAATTACAGCGTGTATCACGGCATATACAATACCAATTACAGCGTGTATCACGGCTTATACAATACCAATTACAGCGTGTATCACGGCATATGCAATACCAATTACAGCGTGTATCACGGCATATGCAATACCAATTACAGCGTGTATCTCGGCATATACAATACCAATTACAGCGTGTATCACGGCATATACAATACCAATTACAGCGTGTATCATAGCTTATACAATACCAATTACAGCGTGTATCACAACATATACAATACCAATTACAGCGTGTATCACAGCTTATACAATACTAATTACAGCGTGTATCACAGCATATACAATACCAATTATAGCGTGTATCACAGCATATACAATACCAATTATAGCGTGTATCACAGTTTATACCATACCAATTATAGCGTGTATCACGGCATATACAATACCAATTATAGCGTGTATCACAGCATATACAATACCAATTATAGCGTGTATCACAGTTTATACCATACCAATTATAGCGTGTATCACGGCATATACAATACCAATTATAGCGTGTATCACGGCATATACACTGATCTACCCTCACACCTGGAACTGACATTGTTTCTAATTTTAGTTGTTATAGCATATACAACACGTATTTAGCATGTATGATAGCAGATTCAATATTTTAATATTATTTCATAAAATTGAACATGAATCGTCATGCTCAGTAAAGTCGGGGACTTCAAAGTAACAAATAGCTTCGAAGTAATATAATTCCCAAGGGAAAGCACATTGAACATGATAAGTAGTTAATTTGACACATTCAGAAGGAGTTTAAAAAGTATTGTACAAGAGTAAACATCAGAAAATTACAAATCAATTACAGAAATAAGAATGCACCATTGCTTTAATCTCGGAGAGCATTCACAGTACCCGTCGTGCGTATAATGACACGTAAACGTCACAATTAATTGGTTACAACATTCATGTTTTCGAGAACGTCTTATTTTGAAGAAAGTCTTACATTCAAGTTATATCTGCCGACCGCATGTGTTTGTTTTCTTTTCCTATTTTTTAATCTATTGAGTTCACGCCTTGATATTCTGATTTATGACTTAGGATAGAATCATAAATGATCTGTGACCGTTATGCTCAGTAAAGTCGGGGACTTCAAAGTGACAAATAGCTTCGAGGTAATAAAATTCACAAATTCGAGGTCGTATGCATACAGCATACGAAGGTGAAAAAAACAAGCAGATTTTTACATAAGTTTACAAGAGAAATAACAAGTGTTACAGCAACAAATCTCCTGTTTATGGATGGTTTTTATTTTTGAAGTAATGTTATTCTTAATTCAAACTCATATTTACTACAGAAGTGAAAGTTTTTTTCAGGGATATTTCCATGCACTGGAAAATAATGACATGTTTTTATATATGGTGTGACCTGGCACTATCGCTATATATTTTTTGTATTACTATAAATCCTTTGACGCCTTCTCATAAAATCGTCTCTTTGCTGGACATTAGGATTTCCTCCCGAATACTACCCTGTCTTACTCTATTTTAAACTCTGGAAACGTGTTTATTTTATTGTTTCGAAAGGGGGAAAAAGATGATAACATATAAGTATATTGGAAATATTGCGTGAAATACTGAACGCTCGCTTCACGATCTCTTTGCCTTATATGGTATCAAGACATACCTATACTACTAACTAACCCAGTAGAAGAGACAGTGTCCCTCTTATTGACATCGTCTTTATGTTATCTTCTGAACTTATTTATCGTCGTGTCCGTCGAAATATGTACCGATGGCTTACAAGTTCTACAACTTCATTTTCAGATTATATTAATATGATAATAATGTGATTTAAAAAGAAATACATTGTCTTTGTCGATCACATCAACATTATACCAGCAGCGTTTGTTTACAACTAGGACTATGTATTAACCCGTTACACATAAGTATCTTTGCTGATCTCGTGAATACTAATTTAACTATCTACACTCTAGGCAGATCGCTATATTGATAGATATTCTGTAGTGAATTAGCAAACTTAGCCTCATGGCGATGTTGATAGTCGGTAAAGAACATTATATATCATGTAGTAATGTTACAATAGGGACACTGGGCATATGTGTAATACTGATGGTCAACATGAATGGTACGTATTACAACAGTGAACCTGGACAGATATGTGATACTGATGGTCAGCATGAATGGTACGAGTTATAGAGACCTTGGGTAGATATATGATACTGATGGTCAGCATGAATTGTGTTGCTATAGCAACCCTGGGTATAGAAACAACAGCTACTCAATATCTGTCTGGCTCCCCTAATTACCACCAATTGACTCAGTAAGGTCAGGGAGATACAACTGTAGTACTCAGGGGAGTTACTAGTTATCTCCCCAATTACTGTTTTGTAATATACTCCCATTAAAAAATAATTAGTTCTGCAGTCTGTCTAGTCTTCCTCACTATCGACAATTATATCATACTCTTTTTTTCTTTGCTGATATTATTTCATGATAAGGGATTTCGTTCAATTTTCAGAGCCAGAAAATGTGCAACCTCTCAGTTATCTGGGACAGGGGCAGACTCTACAGATTAGTAGTCAGAAATTCTTTGGTTTTCAAAATCAAGCTCATCGTATGAAACCTGTTTGACGAAAATGTAGAATGTAATGTTTAAAATCATCTCCACATATGTAATCGATAAACAGTTTTTTTTTATGTTTCCATCGAAGGATTTTTCTGTAAGCAAATGATTAACGACGTCCGCTACATAACAATATCATACACAGTCAATCTTAGAGTATTACATGTCTATAATCAATGTAAACAGCCGGCGAAACTTTCCTTCAACTTAAACTCTTGGGAGTTTGTATAGTTTAATAATAAAAAAATCTGATACAGTGTGTGTCCTACAAGTTTTCCTTACCTTAAATTTGTTTCTGACAATGATGATATGTCTTGGGCAGTTGGTGGCAATAATTTATTCTGGTGGCTTGGATAATTTATCATTGACGTGAACTTACAATCCTTTACGTCTTGTAAATGATTCAGGTATTCTACTACACTGCAGATACAAGTATGAACCATATATAAGACCACGTATAGTAACTATTCCTTTTAATCAAATATACTATTTAAGTAGAGGTTGTCACCTACATTCCGGTTGTCAGCAAAGCAGAAGACACTTATCCTTCAAAACACCTGGTCTTATTCTCTTTGTTTCGTCTCTACGTAAATGCTTTGTATTAATATTTTGCACTCGTTTGATCCATTTTATGTTTGAATGAAAATTTTGTTATCATGTCGGAATCCTCTTTTATCATCCTTCAGATTAAAAGTAGAGATGACAAAGGTTGGTTTTTACAACATGCTGTTATTAAAGGCATAATGCGGTCGTAAAAGTATTAAAATGATAAAAATGTGTATATACATGTGTATATTGCTTTAGCGGGACTTTTAAGCAGTAGATTGCGGTAAATAATTCCTAAGTTTTAAACATATTGTTTTGAATAATTCATGGCTATTTTAAGGTATTGTTGTGAATAATGCATTATTTTCAAACATTGTATCAAAAACATTAACATACATGTATGTATATATATTACGTAATAACTGGTGCAATTTAAGTTTGTTGCCGATAAAATCTGGCTGTATTTAAGTCGGTAACGTCAGTTAGATGACGTATGTTAATCAAACCATTAATTATTTGTTTTACCTCCACAGGTGCGTTCCTCATTCCTTACCTGATATGTGTGGTGGTGGCTGGAGTGCCGCTCTTTTTTCTGGAAGTAACCGTTGGTCAGTTTATGGGGGTCAGTGGCTTCAAGGCATGGAACATCTGTCCTATTTTACAGGGTAGGTCAGATATCACGTAATAAAAAAAGGAAACAGTTATTTGTACAAATTATTCCCGTCGAAATCTAAACCATATTAGGAACAATACATTAAGGCTTCCCTACAAACAAATCACCTTTGAAAGTGTCCATATTTTTTAATTTTCATTATATCTTAAACTAAGCTTAACCATTCAACAGCTCACTATCAGCATACTTCTGTTCTTCTTACTTGAGCTAGCTGTACGTCTAAAATGTTTAGCTGCGAGAGTTTTCGTGAAGTATCCCAATGGAGATAAATTTAAACATGCTTAATGATTCCAGGGGGCATTGCAGATATTACAAAGTTTGTAAGGCTGACAGATTACCTGTAAGTTGTATCGTAATCATGAAGTCTAACCAGAAAACAATATAGGTCTACTATAGATGCAGGTTCACACAGAATCTGTTTATGTTCATCGTCGTGATCCTAATTGTAAACATTATATTTTTGTGTGTGTTGTCTTGTATGTGCTCCATGTTCGCTCGGATTTCTTTAGTTTTATTGATGTTTACTCAGTTTCTATTTCATATTTCAAGAATGTGACGTCACGTAAATTGACCTAGATATACATTACGAATTCTGCGATGAAACAGAAGTCACCTCGCCTTTCTGACTACGCCCGTTTTAATTATCTAATGCTTTTTCCGGAGTAGCGATGCTAATATGTTCTTAATTCATGTTTTGCCCTCGTTATCGAGCTGACGGTTTGGACTTTGATTCCATTTCTGTTGTTCTCCCACTAAGAACAACGAAAGAATTTACAGGAGAGCCTCGGAAAAAAGTACAAGGGAATAATACTTTGTGTTCCGAAAGGTCTTCTGCATCATGTAAATCTTGGTAAATCCATGAAATAGCACGTTACTAAGTGCGTTTTAAAAGAGTCACCAGACAGATTTACTTTCAGACAGAAATTTAGTAATTTTACTAGGTCACAATGGATACAATGGATGTTGTTTTGTCTATATCTCTTAATTTACAACCATTTTTTCAGTGTTTACCAATGTCTGGCGAAGTTGTAGAAAGCGAAACCGCCAGGTGCATCGGGAAGCACAATTGTTTTGTTTTTGCAACATGGTTGCATGTTATAGAGAAATGTTGATATATTCAGCTTGGAGTTATATTCCCGAGCTTAAATATGTCCCACGATACTCATTGCTATCAGATATACCGTTGGAAACATTGTGTACATACCAATATACAATATCTTTGTTGCTTTTTAAACTGTAGTCAAATTTTGCAGGTTGATGAACATTACGGGGAAAATTTACGGTCGTCATGGTGATCTCATGAAGAAATATCCTATTTCTTTGTGTAATGGAAAACCAGACTTGTTTGATGTTTGTTAATTTGTTTATTGGTCCCTTTGTTGTATATCTTATTCTCAATTGGGAACGTGATATCACTTGAATAGACCGATATTTACATGCCGCTTACTCCTATGGAACACTGGGTCTCACCTGTACTTTTTCAGGAATCTCTGTGTAAATCATTATCAGATGTTGCAGTACTGTTATTATCTTTGTGTTAGGATTTTTCTTAATGTTCCAGTAAGATGTAGAAAACACCAGATAACTTGTTATCAGATGTTTAACATCTATTTCCCCTATGAGCGTTTTCATTTCCCCTTACCTTGGAAGGATGTCATTTTCTAGTTGTGATGTATTCGTTGTACGATGTGATCAACAAATAGTGTAACAATGTTTTCTGTGTCTATTCACTGGTATGTCTTTTTTTACTATCTCGGTATCTCTTGGAACCAAAATTACATTGCAACAGAAAATGGTAATTATCCAGAAATACACATATATGTAGCTTACAATAAAAAAAGAAACAAAACTGAATTGTGAAGTAAGAAAGTTGCAGATATGCTGTATTTGTCGTCATGAAGTGCTGCAGTGTTAACCCTGTATCTGTGTTTATTTCCTAGGTCTTGGAGGAACCACTACAACCATTGTGTTTTTCCTCAACTGTTACTACAACGTGATCATATGTTGGGCACTTTACTACGTGTTCTCCTCCTTCACCTCCGAGCTTCCCTGGAAGTCTTGTGGCCATGAATGGAACACAGAACACTGTTATGACTTTACTGGCGCCAATAAGACAGTAGTCAATATGACTGGAGGATACTACAACCTTACTGAGACTACTACGGTACCATCGCCGACTAACACCACGTCGATCATCAAAATAGATCCTGTCAATGAATTTTGGGAGTAAGTATCACAGAATCGGACGTGTCGTTCAAAGAGTTTATAAACACCCGCGAAATATTTGTTAGAATTTTACGTACACCTGTTAACGAATAAATGACAGATTATAATAATTTGCTTTTTAGGAGAAAAGTCCTGGGTCTGTCATCTGGCATTGATCAAATGGGCATTGTAAGATGGGATCTAGCTCTATGTTTATTATTAGCCTGGGTGATAGTGTACGTTTGTATCTGTAAAGGAATCCGAACTTCCGGTAAGGTAAGTACGTCACATCCGTTAAAATCAGTACATTTGTATCAATGATACGCACATGTAAAGAACGTTTTGATAAAAATAAGACAAAAAAAAAAAAAAAATAAATAAATAAATAAAAAAAATAAGAAAATAAACTACATTAAGCAAATGTGTAGGAAGCATTTACAGACTTTTTAGATCTTCAGAAAAAATGAATGGGGAGCTGTTCTAACATATTATAGGAAATGTGTTTAGTTTTATTGATGTATTAAAGATATTGCTCTGGAATGTCCTGTTTACTCTTTTTTCATTCTTTATTGACATTTCCAGTTTGTGATGATCATCTTATTCAAAAATTACATTTTTTTAAAAATTGTGAGAACTTTCATAAAGCAGGTAAACCTGTCAGATTAATCCGGAGTCAATCAAGAAATCACTACGTATTATCATAGTATGATTTACCATTTATTTCTTTGTTTGTTTGCTTTTTTTATTTATTTATATATATATATATATATATTTTTTTTTTTTTTGGGGGGGGGGGGGGGGGTTCGTTCATTCTGTTTCCGTCACTATTAAGAGGCATCATCACCGCTCTTATTTACCAAGATAGTGTTTTATATTACTTTTTATATCAACTGGGAAACATCTCGTAAGTTATCGTTCCTGAAAAACACATTTTTACCGGCACAATGAAAACATCCACATTGCATGGAACCCTTTAGTCAAAGGTCATTATTCCTAGCAATGTACATATTCAGTGATAGGCAATATCGGTTCGAATCAAAATGAAGCAACCACAATGTTAAAAATATATTTATATCGGAGTGAAATTATCCTCTTCGCGATCCAGACTCTCATATCTGTGGCAGAGGAGACACAGACATTATAGCAAATATACATAAACCTTATTAGCACTAATTAGACAGTGTAGACAATGTACGTGCAGTGTTGTTTTCGTAATTTTACATTTTCAGGTGATGTACGTCACGGCGACTGCCCCATATTTCTTCATGCTCGCCCTACTCATACGTAATTCTATGCTAGAGGGCGCTCTTGATGGGGTGATCTATTATTTGAAGCCAGACATCGCTAAACTTGCTGACATGGAAGTATGTCTTTTGAAAAAACCCCACTGTCATCTTATTCAATGAATTGTTACAGGGCGCTATGCCGACATTTTTTGACATATATACATAGACCTGTCCCTGAGCGCCAGAGTTATGTACCACGACCCCTGTGGACATTAGTCTCAGTCTCTTAGTAACCGTTGTAGTCAAATGAAAAAAAAAACACCTGTGCTTTATGCTGATCTTAAAAGGTGAGGCAAGTGATGAATTAGTACCGGTGTACTATACAGCTGTGGACGTGACCTCGTCAGTCATCTATAAGACGTCACAACATTTATACATTGCTAAATAAAACAGACTAATGTACAGGTAATGGACATGTGAAATGTGAGTGACTAAAGCCCTGACCTTACAACCTGGTGACGGGGGGTCGCTGACAACATTCACAACTTCTCATCAATGTATTGCTTCAAGCTTTCCTGTTTAAAACTAACCAGTATAATGTTATATACGAAACAATTGTGTATTGTAAAATTATTTTGAAAATAAGGATAATAATGAAAAAATAAATAAATACATCATGTTAGTTAATTATTATTATCATTATTTCTGTTTCGTTATTTGTTCTGTCGTGTGCTGATGTAGTATATCCTATTTATAGGTATGGATTGACGCCTCCACACAAATCATGTGGTCCTATTCCATAGGTAATGGTGCCCTGACCGCCCTTGGCAGTTACAATAAGTTTAGCCACAACTCCTATAGGTAGGTTCCTCCATGTAGCCTACTGAGTAAAAATGAGAACAAGATGATAAAAACACTTTATAAATGGTATTTTTGTCTGTATAATACTGAAATGAATTATCCGCAATTTCCACGAAAAATACTGCTGGGGAAATTGACCGCACTGTGTAACCATATATGGGACGGTAATGTGATACGTAATAGTGACGTCAGAGAAGTGACGTGGATATTTTAATAAATTATGTCGACTGTGAAGTTATCAGTTGTCATCGAAAACAATATTTATCGATCAAACTGCTAATTTTAATTGACAAGTTTTCTTCTGACGATACATAAGAAGACTTAAAAACATTCCTGCGCAGAATGGCATGCTAAAGCTCACTTGGCAGTGTCCAACAGTAAAATATTTCGACAAAACTTTGTCAATTAAGGACTCCTATCATGTCGATTTTGTGAGTTTGATTAGTTATTTGATGCTGCAACATGTTAAAGTCAAAATGATTACCTCCATTGAGTGTTGTGTATCTCGTGTTAACGGCAATCAGTCTGAACCTCGTGTGTTATAACCCAATACCAGCCACAATCATTGAGAGTGAAGTAATGTTGTGTCATTGTAAGGTTTTAAATATTAGCATATAATTTTGTGTAAGGATGAATAAACTTATTTCATTCAGTAAAATTACATGTTGTGTTATGATGAAAAGGTTAGATAAGTAATTTGATGTTGTGTAATTCCAGGGACGTCACAATCTTCGCCTTCATCAACTCTGGGACTAGTATTTTTGCTGGATTCCTAATCTTTACCATTCTAGGCCACATGGCTTTTCTACAAGACACAACTGTGGACAAAGTGGCTGCCTCAGGTAAGGCTTCAATAAACATGTACTCCTATATCATTATGACACAAGAAGTATTATATTAAGATATTTATGGGACTGACGATAATGAGTATTTTTTAACTACTCGTTGGATACGAGACCTTTTCAACATGTTTTCTAAAGGATGGCTTACGTTTTATCTGAAAGATTTAGGATTGTTAATTTGACATCAACAAGTCTGCATATTCTCTATATCACATCGGTTATCATATTTTCTTAAACCGACATTTTTATCCCCAGAAATTTTATTTTTACACGCAATGCATCAATACTCTTCCTTAATCTTGTGTTACTGCTTTATCATATGTCTTGTTTGAACTGGATGTCGTGTTTGAGCTGGATGTCGTGTTTGAGCAGAATGTCTTGTTTGAGCTGGATGTATTTGATCTGAATGTCTTGTTTGAGCTAGATGTCTTGTTTGAACTGGATGTCTTGTTTGAGCTGGATGTCGTGTTTGAGCAGAATGTCTTGTTTGAGCTGGATGTATTTGATCTGAATGTCTTGTTTGAGCTAGATGTCTTGTTTGAACTGGATGTCTTGTTTGAGCTGGATGTCGTGTTTGAGCAGAATGTCTTGTTTGAGCTAGATGTCTTGTTTGAGCAGAATGTCTTGTTTGAGCTGGATGTATTTGATCTGAATGTCTTGTTTGAGCTAGATGTCTTGTTTGAACTGGATGTCTTGTTTGAGGTGGATGTCTTGTTTGAGATGAATGTCTTGTTTGAGCTAGATGTCTTGTTTGAGCTGAATGTCTTGTTTGAGCTAGATGTCTTGTTTGAGCTGAATGTCTTGTTTGAGCTGAGTGTCTTGTTTGAGCTGGATGTCGTGTTTGAGCTAGATGTCTTGTTTGAGCTAGATGTCTTGTTTTGAGCTGGATGTCTTGTTTGAGCTGGATGTCTTGTTTGAACTGGATGTCTTGTTTGAGGTGGATGTCTTGTTTGAGATGAATGTCTTGTTTGAGATGAATGTCTTGTTTGAGCTGGATGTCTTGTTTGAGCTAGATGTCTTGTTTGAACTGGATGTCTTGTTTGAGCTGGATGTCTTGTTTGAGATGAATGTCTTGTTTGAGCTGGATGTATTTGATCTGAATGTCTTGTTTGAGCTAGATGTCTTGTTTGAACTGGATGTCTTGTTTGAGCTAGATGTCTTGTTTGAACTGGATGTCTTGTTTGAGGTGGATGTCTTGTTTGAGATGAATGTCTTGTTTGAGATGAATGTCTTGTTTGAATGTCTTGTTTGAGCTGGATGTCTTGTTTGAGATGAATGTCTTGTTTGAGCTGGATGTATTTGATCTGAATGTCTTGTTTGAGCTAGATGTCTTGTTTTGAGCTGGATGTCTTGTTTGAGCTGGATGTCTTGTTTGAACTGGATGTCTTGTTTGAGGTGGATGTCTTGTTTGAGATGAATGTCTTGTTTGAGCTGGATGTCTTGTTTGAGCTGGATGTCGTGTTTGAGCTAGATGTCTTGTTTGAACTGGATGTCTTGTTTGAACTGGATGTCTTGTTTGAGGTGGATGTCTTGTTTGAGGTGAATGTCTTGTTTGAGTTGGGTGTCTTGTTTGATTGGGATGTCTTGTTTGAGCTGAATGGCTTGTTTGAGCTGAGTGTCTTGATTGAGCTGAATGTCTTGTTTGAGCTGGATGTCGTGTTTGAGCAGAATGTCTTGCTTGAAGTGGATGTCTTGTTTGAGGTGGATGTCTTTTTTGAGCTCGATGTCTTGTTTGAGGTGAATGTCTTGTTTGAGCTGGGTGTCTTGTTTGAGTGGGATGTCTTGTTTGAGCTGGATGTCTTGTTTGAGGTGAATGTCTTGTTTGAGCTGGGTGTCTTGTTTGAGTGGAATGTCTTGTTTGTGCTGGATGTCTTGTTTGATCTGGATGCAGGCAATTTTTATCGAATATTGTGATCACATGATTAGTGTTCCAATATTCCATTTGTTCTTTTGATGTTTTTTTCGTGCCGTGAGCCGCCATTGTAAATTGAGGCGGGGTCTATTTGTAGTAGGTGGTAACAGGCCATCTAGAGCAATTACGGTATACCATCCTGCTCAGAGGCACAACCATAACTGCATAGATCGGTCCGTTTCTCAGCTTGTCGAGGAAAACAAACCGCCACAGATAGTTAGTGTAAAACCGCACACTTCGGGTCTTCACCCCAATTTACGCAGGACAACTCGTTTACCGACTGCATTTCATAAAGTTGCTCGGTGATATAATCCAGATACTTATCGTAAACAGAACACGTTGAAAAGCTTTGAGGACATTCAAGAATTACACAATAAGAGATTACTTGGCGTGAGGTTAAAGGTTACGGATACAAATTTACATAACGTTGAAAGGTTCGGCAAATATATATACATTTATTCTTAAACGATCTTAAATCTGACAACGTGAACTGCTTAATAACTCATCGCATTATCATGAGAAAGCTGGAGTAAGATGTGTAAATGATTGTACATCAGTCATACAACAGGGTAACTTAAGTGCACACTTGTCCGGTCCTCATTGTGCTGTTTTGATTTATTCACCGTCTCAACACTTGAGTTGTGTAAAAACTGTGTATAAAAATTAAGCGCATGCAATTTTAGTTTTCTGTACAGTCTTCGAGATTGCAGGTGGTAGACACTGCTGGTGGACTTTTAGTTCCCGAAGATTGTAACATGCATGTCACGTGTATGAATTCATTCGAATTGCGGCACGGTATAGAATACAAGCACGTGATTACCGTTCTTCTGAAATTATCAAATATATCAACAAAATTAAACCTAGTGCACATCTCAATTTCTATATTTTTATCCTGATACTGAGCATCACTGACGAGTACTACAATAACAAAACAACTGTATGACACAATTTAAAGCCTTATTTGACTGTATCTGATTATATCAGTGTTCTGTCTCTATTGTACCAGTGTTCTGTCTCTATTGTACCAGTGTTCTGTCTCTATTGTACCAGTGTTCTGTAGTTATTGTACCAGTGTTCTGTCTCTATTGTACCAGTGCCTGTGTTCTGTCTATTGTACCAGTGTTCTGTAGTTATTGTACCAGTGTTCTGTAGTTATTGTACCAGTGTTCTGTCTCTATTGTACCAGTGTTCTGTCTCTATTGTACCAGTGTTCTGTCTCTATTGTACCAGTGTTCTGTAGTTATTGTACCGGTGTCCTGTAGTTATTGTACCGGTGTTCTGTAGTTATTGTACCAGTGTTCTGTAGTTATTGTACCAGTGTTCTGTAGTTATTGTACCAGTGTTCTGTCTCTATTGTACCAGTGTTCTGTAGTTATTGTACCAGTGTTCTGTAGTTATTGTACCAGTGTTTTGTAGTTATTGTACCAGTGTTCTGTCTCTATTGTACCAGTATTCTGTCTCTATTGTACCAGTGTTCTGTCTCTATTGTGTTCTGTAGTTATTGTACCATTGTTCTGTCTCTATTGTGTTCTGTAGTTATTGTGCCGGTGTTCTGTCTCTATTGTACCAGTGTTCTGTAGTTATTGTACCAGTGTTCTGTCTCTATTGTACCAGTGTTCTGTCTTTATTGTACCAGTGTTCTGTAGCTATTGTGCCGGTGTCCTGTAGTTATTGTACCAGTGTTCTGTAGTTATTGTACCAGTGTTCTGTAGTTATTGTACCAGTGTTCTGTCTCTATTGTACCAGTGTTCTGTCTCTATTGTACCAGTGTTCTGTCTCTATTGTACCAGTGTTCTGTCTCTATTGTACCAGTGTTCTGTAGTTATTGTACCAGTGTTCTGTAGTTATTGTACCAGTGTTCTGTAGTTATTGTACCAGTGTTCTGTCTCTATTGTACCAGTGTTCTGTCTCTATTGTACCAGTGTTCTGTCTCTATTGTACCAGTGTTCTGTAGTTATTGTACCAGTGTTCTGTAGTTATTGTACCAGTGTTCTGTCTCTATTGTACCAGTGTTCTGTCTCTATTGTACCAGTGTTGTGTCTCTATTGTACTAGTGTTCTGTCTCTATTGTACCAGTGTTCTGTAGTTATTGTACCAGTGTTCTGTAGTTATTGTACCAGTGTTCTGTAGTTATTGTACCAGTGTTCTGTCTCTATTGTACCAGTGTTCTGTAGTTATTGTACCAGTGTTCTGTCTCTATTGTACCAGTGTTCTGTAGTTATTGTAACAGTGTTCTGTCTCTATTGTACCAGTGTTCTGTCTCTATTGTACCAGTGTTCTGTAGTTATTGTACCAGTGTTCTGTCTCTATTGTACCAGTGTTCTGTAGTTATTGTACCAGTGTTCTGTTGTTATTGTACCAGTGTTCTGTCTCTATTGTACCAGTGTTCTGTCTCTATTGTACCAGTGTTCTGTCTCTATTGTACCGGTGTTCTGTAGTTATTGTACCAGTGTTCTGTAGTTATTGTACCAGTGTTCTGTCTCTATTGTACCAGTGTTCTGTAGTTATTGTACCAGTGTTCTGTAGTTATTGTACCAGTGTTCTGTCTCTATTGTACCAGTGTTCTGTAGTTATTGTACCAGTGTTCTGTCTCTATTGTACCAGTGTTCTGTAGTTATTGTACCAGTGTTCTGTAGTTATTGTACCAGTGTTCTGTCTCTATTGTACCAGTGTTCTGTAGTTATTGTACCAGTGTTCTGTCTCTATTGTACCAGTGTCCTGTCTCTATTGTACCAGTGTTCTGTCTCTATTGTACCAGTGTTCTGTAGTTATTGTACCAGTGTTCTGTCTCTATTGTACCAGTGTTCTGTAGTTATTGTACCAGTGTTCTGTCTCTATTGTACCAGTGTTCTGTCTCTATTGTACCAGTGTTCTGTAGTTATTGTACCAGTGTTCTGTCTCTATTGTACCAGTGTTCTGTCTCTATTGTACCAGTGTTCTGTAGTTATTGTACCAGTGTTCTGTAGTTATTGTACCAGTGTTCTGTCTCTATTGTACCAGTGTTCTGTAGTTATTGTACCAGTGTTCTGTCTCTATTGTACCAGTGTTCTGTCTCTATTGTACCAGTGTTCTGTCTCTATTGTACCAGTGTTCTGTCTCTATTGTACCAGTGTTCTGTAGTTATTGTACCAGTGTTCTTCTGTAGTTATTGTACCAGTGTTCTGTTGTTATTGTACCAGTGTTCTGTCTCTATTGTACCAGTGTTCTGTCTCTATTGTACCAGTGTTCTGTAGTTATTGTACCAGTATTCTGTCTCTATTGTACCAGTGTTCTGTAGTTATTTTACCAGTGTTCTGTAGTTATTGTACCAGTGTTCTGTCTCTCTGGTGTTCTGTAGTTATTGTACCAGTGTTCTGTCTCTATTGTACCGGTGTTCTGTAGTTATTGTACCAGTGTTCTGTAGTTATTGTACCAGTGTTCTGTAGTTATTGTACCAGTGTTCTGTCTCTATTGTACCAGTGTTCTGTCTCTATTGTACCAGTATTCTTTTACTATTATACCAGTGTCCAGCCAAAACTTTTGATAAGATCTTGAGCCAGGATATAGATATAATTACAGGGTTATAAATTAATGTCACCCAACACAGACCAATATGAGGATCTGGATACGAACACTTAATGATCAACTTCACAAATTTTTTTACATTTATTACTTAAACTAAACAGGCGACTTTTAATTGTTATTCAATAGTAGGTAGGAAATTACCTTTATATAACTCGTATCTATGTAACTATCTAGTGACATAGTTAATAGTTATAATAAAGAAATACAGTCTCCATATATGGAGACAATTTTTGCTATTCCGGCTAGATGGCATGTCCATATACGGAGACGAGTCTCCATATCCAGCACAGGACATCATTCAAAAGAAGGTAGATATACTACTCGATATTTATACGAGTTGTCTCTCTTCGTCCACTCGTGATCCGTTATTGGGAACAATGAGCCACTTGTAGGTCATTTTAGTTTGACAACTCGGTTCGCTTACCATTTGTGTCTGGTCTACTTGTCATTCGTGATTTGGCGCGCCATATTCCTATCATTGATCATGCAAGCATTCTAATAAAGTCAGCATTATAATTGAAGAATCGATCTAATAAATGTTCATATGAATTATAACAATTAATGACATGTATTATCACTGTATTTCTAATTGGAAAGTGTGGAGTTATAACGATATGCCAGAACAGAGTTATTCCTCTGTTTTTCTGACAAGATAACAGACAAGTCAGCTTCTATTCCTGGCAAAGTAGTCGCTGATGCTGATTCATAACACGCTATTAAGCCAGTGTTCTGTCGCTATCAGTGTACCGGTGATATGTCGCTCTTATTGTACCAATTTTTTATCTGTGATCGATGTTGAGGTTGAACAATTTAAGTATTAATTGTTATTGATTTAGTATCTGTATAATTATATTAATGTATTTAGCCTTTACAGACATGACGCCAATGTTCATATATCGACAAGCTAACAGTTTCATTGATAAATTTCGTGATTAGTTAAGATTATAGTGTCATAGGACCTTCATTCATAACTGCCGTGATTAATTAGGATTATAATGTCATAGGACCTTCATTAATAACTGCCGTGATTAATTAGGATTATAGTGTCATAGGACCTTCATTAATAACTGCCGTGATTAATTAGGATTATAGTGTCATAGGACCTTCATTAATAACTGCCGTGATTAATTAAGATTATAGTGTCATAGGACCTTCATTAATAACTGCCGTGATTAATTAGGATTATAGTGTCATAGGACCTTCATTAATAACTGCCGTGATTAATTAAGATTATAGTGTCATAGGACCTTCATTCATAACTGCCGTGATTAATTAGGATTATAATGTCATAGGACCTTCATTAATAACTGCCGTGATTAATTAGGATTATAATGTCATAGGACCTTCATTCATAACTGCCGTGATTAATTAGGATTATAATGTCATAGGACCTTCATTAATAACTGCCGTGATTAATTAAGATTATAGCACAATGAGAAGTGAAATTGGTCTTCAGAATATTGACACTGTCCAGAATTTATCCACGGATTAGACGTTTTCCGGTAATTACCCAATATTGTTGAATATGAAATTTGTTGAACATGTGCACTTTCTCGTTCACATCTTTTGACATTGCCTTGGACCATTTTGATTTGCTTTACTGATTCCCTCCTTGATGTCCATTTTCAAGGCTCGAGCAGCTGTATGATGCAGATTGATTCATTTTTTGACTTTATTGAATCTTATTTTTATTGGAATGGAAAGGTGTTATTCACTTAGGTCGTTTAAGAGTTCCTGGTACATGCCTTGAATTGTGTGAATGTCTATTTCAGGTCCGGGTCTTGCCTTCATAGCCTATCCGAAAGCAGTGTCCATGATGCCTGGGGCTCCGATCTGGTCGACCTTATTCTTCATCATGATCATTTTCCTGGGAATCGACAGCCAGGTACTCTATTTATTAGTACCGATTCATTTTCACAACCAAGTTTTCCAAAACACTACCTATACAAATGCATACATCCGTTATGAAACAATCAGCGTTATGTACATCCGGTCAATCCAAAAGTACGCTAAAAATAGATTCTAAAAATAAACCTTAACATACACTTACTCAGTTATAAACGCATTTGCTAACTGTTTCGAAAACAAAGAAGTTACATAATAAACTTTCTCCTGTGACTGTTGTAAATACATTTGGTAAATGTTCAAAAAATTAACTTCAAAATACAATCATTTCTCGGTTTAAAACAATTCTACCAATGTTTCGTCGTAATCTACACTATCCTTAATCTATAACAATAATTTATAAATGTTTTTATAACTGAAAACCCATTTCTTCATTAATCAACCATTTTAAAGTTAATTATCTATCTGAAATGCGTGTGTTTTACTTTGTTTCAATATTTGTGTCAGTTTGCCTGTGTCTGTTCCTATGTCTGTCTTCCTATGTATTTCTTTTTCTGTCTTTATCTTTCTCAACCTCTCTTTCCTTAAATAACATCAACGATTACCATCAAACGAGGATATGAGGATATATCTATAAAACATTAGGCTTCAGCTCATGTTGGATTTTCATGAATTTTATATAAATGATTTTCCGTGTATGTTTGTATGTCTTTAAAAGAAAGACATACATATTAACAAAAATGTGTTATCTCTTTTTAATTAAACGGCAAATTATTGATATGTGTAATATTGGTTATTCTTATACTGATTCTGATTCTAACTGAGGTTATAATATTTGCATTTATTTCAGGAATATGTAAACTGATTAATTATTGTATACATATATATTGTATTTTCGTTCTAGGAATTTTTCCTGTGACCTTCTCTTTCATGTTATCGTACTCATAAACTTCCCTTTTTCTTTATCCAGGCCAATCCACTTACCTGTACACAAACCAAATACTGGATAACTCGACTTATTACACCTTTATTTCAGTTATCAGTACCACAAACAAGTCTTTAATACTTAGCGTTTGATGAATTTGTGCTTCGTCTCGCGGAAAAAAAAATCCGTTGTTTTCACGGCTAAATATATTCACCGCGGGAATACCAGAAATAAGAATGTTGATGTATGGTGTTACATATTCACAATTTCAAAGAGAAAAGTCGTTATCAATCGAACATATCGCGTGATATTCAAAATTATTATTTAGGATTTCGACCCGGAATCATATGTATTACGTGAACTTAGAAATCAAATCACCTTAGTTATTGACATCCATCAGGTAAGAAGCGAGGCCGTTTTTCAGGTTGCCTCTACAATCTACTGTATTATGAGAGTTATTGACAGGTCCACAGAGAGGAGCCATAAATATAAAACGAGGGTTTGTAAGGTCCTTATGTACAACACATTGATAACAGATTCAAAGACGGATGACCCGGAACCGGAAGTCTTCATGACTGTTTTAACTGAACCGAGGGAAAAGGTAGACTCGTTATGAAATAATTGTCATTGAATTACCTGAATTGTGTTATATGATGTGTTGTTTTGATAATGGCCAATCAATATGCATATACAGTTTGATCCATGTTTTTGCGTAAAGAAAAATATTTCTTTTCCATAAAAGGCAATGGATGGACGATTCTGTTTCACTCTATGCATGATCAGAGAAGCCATTATCAAACAGGAAGTGACATTTTACATATTGCATTGCGCTAGCCACGTATTTGTCTTCGCAAATGATCGTTGTTTAGTTTTGAAGAATTGTTCTTTACCTCTTTCACATGTCAATTCTACAAAATTTGCATAACATTATATTTAATTCCAATGTGAAATCGTTCCCAAAAAGAATTAAAAAATATCAGCACACCAATTTCTAATTTGAAATTCATCCATATTTCTAATTTTAATGGTTTATAGTCATAATATTTTAAAGCATTCTTTTGACCCAGTCTTGGCGATATATTGTTCAGAACTCGTATTGTTTTTGCGTTTCTGATTGATAGTAAGGAAATCCTAAATAATATAGTCGTGTGCCTACTTCCTCTTAAGGTATTTCATCTATAGCTCGTGAGCAAACTGATTTCCAAAGAATAAGAACATATCGACAAAAATCTTATTGAATCCAAAAATTGAATACATAAGAACAAAATACAGACTTGTACCCAGTCATAGAAAATATCTTTTACTGAAGGATTAACGTTATCTTTTTCTTCACTGTCAACGAGCAAATCTATTTCAATCCAAGTAATGCCGCTTGCTAAAGCAGAAAATCTAAAAACAAGTATGGAAATATGACTGCAACCACAAAATAGTTTCATGGTTTTCGATCTGCATCAATTGGAAATCCCTTTTTTAGTTACATATGGATGTATAACGGAATTCGTAATGTTCAGAATACACCTTGTATCATCAGAATACACCCTGTATCATCAGAATAAAGGCGAAGCCAGGGTGGAACTATCCAGGAACAGAATGTTGTAGGGATATTGGAATCACCATGCTTATCGTAGACACAGGTCAACACAATCATAATCCAAACTCAAATTTAATAAAACTAGGGCAAAAAGTGAACAAAAGATCATTTAATCGCAGACTCCTGAATTAGACTAGGTGTTCCGGAAGAGTTAGCGTTTCATGCTCCATCGATGACACCCGCCATGTAACTCTTGGTCAGTCCGAGAAAGAGAATAAGATATACAACAACGGAACCAACAGGCTAATAAACGAGTATCAAATCGCAAAAAGAATATTTCTCAATGAGATATCTATGATGACCGGAAAACTTCCCTACAATTTTCATAAACCTGCATCTTTTTGCATCTTTTGAAACCCCTTTTTACATTGATTATGTTGATTTGTAAGTAAATATCAAAACATGGAGCTGATGAATCAGTCAAGTTGTAATGACATTTCCTGAATCAAATCGCAATTTATAATCAATCAGTTTTATTTGTATGCGTGGAATTGATTTAGTTGCATCGCAGTAATGTTTTCATGCCAATGGAGACTATATTTGAGTTTAGCTATACATATTATTTGGTATTATCAATTATCACAACTAGCCATTATATTTTAAATAAACTTATTGATGACAGCTAAAGAAAGAGGAAACCTTACTTCATTATTCACTTGTATCTCTCGTTATCTACATCAGGTACAGATTACAAACTTCTGAAATATAACGCTTTGATAAGTCCAGAAATTCTGAAACTATGCAATGTTATTGTGAAATGTTGAAATTTTTTACTGTTTACGAAGAAACATTTACATGATAGAAAAATCGTAATAAAATTACACTTTCTTTATATTACCAATTAATTTGGTTTAAATAAACCTTAAGTTGGTTACACAATACATTTTTAAAATTGATATAAAACAGTGAGATTTGTGAGATACAAATTCTTTTTATCACTAAGCGTTGATATAGAGATATAGATCACATTAGACATCGCTGTTACTATATGTAATACATAAGAGTTCCTTAACATCCTATTTGAAGCCGTGTCAAAGAAGAGTTTCCATGAAGACTACGTTGATAATTTCACATAACCTGTAGGCACACTTCATTTGTGTTTTATTAAATACAATTTACAGATAAAACGGCTCATGTGGATTTCTAATAAGACCTTGTGCAAATTAAACATAAAGGGTTTGTTCAATTAATGTTTCTATATCCATAGAGTAAATGCTATCACCAAAAGACCTTTATACAATGATACCAAACAATGTAATATACAAAACGGTACTGTTCCTTTCATTCCGGATCTTTCCAACTATCAAAAGTTAAATATTGACACTGACATAGAGGGAGAACAATTCTTCTGGCGTATCATTTTATTATTGTTGTACTTGATTTGTAGACACTTGTAAGGCTACTCGACAACTCCTGGTTTTGGTTAATTTGGCAACTACACATTGAACAATAATTTAACGACATTATTCAGAACTCCTAAAAATGTTGGCCAGTAGTCTTTCAAATGTTTAATTATAGCAGATTTCAGTTTCGATTGTTTTGGTCAAGAGCTGTCATCGTGGTATTGACTTTGTTATTTATATTTACTTTTAGTTTGTACAAATGGAAGGCTTCATCACTTCTGTCGTCGATCAGTACGCCCACATACTAAGGAAAGGGTACCGGAAGGAGATATTTATAGCTGTGGTCTGCGCGGTGTCTTTCCTGATTGGTCTGACAATGATTGCAGAGGTAAATGGAATTTCGAGGGAGTTTAATAAAATGGTGTAAAACTGGATTTAAGTTTGATATATCATCAATTTAGTTTATCTTAATAATAAATGGATTTACAATATGTTCTACCAAATGATCAAAATTCTGTACGTACCGGCTTAATCTTTTTTTTTTTAACAAAACAGGCATACGTCACGGACTGTCGGATCAAGAATGTGTTATTACCTTTATCATTTTAGACCTTTTAGAAAAATCTGACGTCATCGCCTCATTTCTTACATTTACAATTTTAATCTGATTATCAACCATCTTCAGAAATCATTGAAATGACTGCCAAAGTTAAACACAGAGTCGTTAACTAGGAAAATCGCATTAAAATGCTTTTCAATATGAAATGGAAAATGTTAATTAATCCTTATACTAATTAATTAGAAATTAAGTAATAGATAGATTGATATTATGGATATTAAAACGAAATGTATTTAAAATAACAATTTGTAAACCAATAAATACTAACAGCAATAAATAAGATTTCATGTACGGTTATGTATAAAAACACATAAATTTCAAATAAATTATTGAATAAAAGATAATACATATTGTCATGGAGAACTATGTTGTTGTGTTATCTAATAACTATGCTTTATGAAAAACTAGAAATATGAAATGTTATAGATCAGATGTTGAAAATGGTTGCCCGACTCTTTAACAGTTGTATTCTTCATAAGCTATGCAGATTATGTTTTACTCTATACTGCAATGCTATCCTTCTGTTCCAGGGAGGGATGTACGTGTTTCAAATCTTTGATTACTATTCCGGCAATAGAGTAATTCTGCTCGTTGCCTTTGCCGAGTGCGTGGCTGTGGCATGGATTTACGGTAAGTAAACGGATAACTTATCAATGATAATGGGGAACAGTGACCTATTTATCAGCAATATAAGATCAAATAGCATCACTAAAGTCGGTCTGACATATATTTATATTTTATGAATGTGACCTCAATTTATGACAAGTAACCGTAGTACTCATTTGGTGTGATTTATGGCTAGATATGTATATTGCCGTAGTGTAACATTTGGGTTTTAATTGATACATGGGCTGGTTTAGCTTTTGAAAGCAATTTGATGATTAATGATGTGTGCTTGGCTGTGTGAACCTATTTTAGAAAGTCAGTGGTGGAAGAGATGTTTAATGTGGCAATATGATCAAAGGTGACAGCTAGGCGTTTGAAGAAACGAACTTTTCTCGCTTATATATGATAAATGATTACACATATACTCATGTCGTTTCTATAATTACATTTGATTTTAATTCCACTCTGTACACAATGATATTCCATCTGCAACTAAATGAACGGTTTCGTTTTCTGCCAGCTTTCTTTACAAAGAATAGAAGTAAAAGTATATTGTTATTGCAGCTGTGAACTTTGATAAAGCGAATTTCGTTAAATTATGTCTAGGACCAAGACGAATTATAGTAAGAAAATTATCGAGAATATCTGTATATCTGGCCCCCATCTCCTTAAATTACTTCTAAGAGGATCTGTGGTAATCATTTATTCATGTTTTGACAAAGTTAAATCGCATTTGCATTTGTATTAAAAGGTATTGACAAGTTTGTCTGCTTTTGTTTTAAGGTATAAATCGAATTTACGACAATATTGAGATGATGATGGGTCACCGTATCAACCGGTACATGTGGTTAGCTTGGACAGTGTTGACACCACTGTTCTGTATAGTAAGTAATAACCTCTAACTAACTACCTGTTATTTGAGAAACAGTTATTTGTTCATCCAAAAGCTACTTTATGAAAAGATTTTCATAGTTCAAATGGCAAGTCTATTATTATCACCAATGTCCTTTGTTTACTTGTTCTGATTCTATCATCACCTAGTCGTAGACATTTTCCCTCGTCAGTATAATACAGTATCTGGAGGTAATGTATTTCTGGTGAGATTTGAGAGAGTTTGTTATACATATGATAATTTTGTTCTCGTCAGTACAGATGTGATGTATTTTGGGTGAAATTTGACGTCATTTGTTATAAGTATTTTTCCTCGTCAGGAGAAGTAAGGTATCTGGAGTTATTTTTGCTCATCAGAATATTAAAGTATCTGGAGGTAATCTATCACTGATCAGATCTGACGTCATATATTGTAGGTATGTTTCCTCATCAGTATATTAAGGTACCTGGAGGTGATGTATTACTAATCAGATATGACGTCATACCTTGCAGGTATTTTTCCTCATCAGTATAGTGACATACTCTGAGCTGGACTACAAGCGTACTACCCTGACCTACGAGTACCCCGGCTGGGCTGTAGCCATTGGCTGGATCATGGCCATGTCCTCGGCTGTCTGGATTCCAGCTCTCATTCTTCACAAATTCTTTAAATATGGATTTAATTTGGAGGTAAAAGTCTTTCCACTCGCAATATAAATGCGCAGTGCTTTGCCATTGCCAATTCGACTCTCTCTCTCTCTCTCTCTCTCTCTCTCTCTTCTCTCTCTCTCTCTCTCTCTCTCCGCTTCTCTCGCTCTCTCTCCCTTCCTCCCCTCTTCGCTCTCTCTCTCCTCTTCGCTCTCTCTCTTTCTCTCTCTGTCTCTCTCTTTTTCTCTCTTAAATGATTTAATGGTCGTTTTCTAGAAATATTTTCCATTTCTTTATTTACTTATTGTTATTTGCTACAGACAATAATTTAGATACATTTTTACAAACAAGCATTTTTATATGTAGACCAAACCATTCGTGTAAAATGTTGAAGATGTTCTTTCGGTTAGATTTTCACTTCAGACTATTATATCTCCTCGTTGTCATGTGTTTTGTCCATCACAAAGAGTGCACGATAGCAATATAAGGTAAACAATGTAACAGATGATTTGTTTATTTGTAGACTCTTCGACTGATGCTTGTTCCTCTTGGGTTAAAGGACCACCAGCTGAGAGCAAAAGACAAAGGACAGAAAACACTGGCTGATCTGAATACCATGTCCTAACACAGTCTTAACAAACAACATAATAGTTTGTATCACGAAGATTTCCCACCATTACATTTGGACAGAGCACTATTAAATACAATCGCACGAACACTTCCTGCCGTTCTACACAGACAAACTAACACTCCCCACCATCAAACACAGACAATCTTACACTTTCCACCATTAAACACACACACAATAACACTCTCCACCATTAAACACACACACAATAACACTGCCCACCATCAAACACAGACACACTAACTCTCCCCACTATTAAACACAGACACAATAACACTTTCCACCATTAAACACAGACAAACTAACACTCCCCACCATCAAACACAGACACACTAACACTCCCCACCATCTAACACACACACAATAACACTCCCCACCATCTAACACACACACAATAACACTCCCCACCATCAAACACAGACACAATAACACTCCCCACCATTAAACACAGACACAATAACACTCCCCACCATCAAACACAGACAATCTTACACTTTCTACAATTAAACACAGACACAAAAACACTCCCCACCATCAAACACAGACACAATAACACTCCCCACCATTAAACACAGACACAATACCTCTCCCCACCATTAAACACAGACACAATAACACTCCCCACCATCAAACACAGACACACTAACTCTCCCCACCATTAAACACAAACTAACACTCCCCACCATCAAACACAGACACAATAACACTCCCCACCATCAAACACAGACACAATAACACTCCCCACCATCAAACACAGACACAATAACTCTCCCCACCATTAAACACAGACACAATAACACTTTCCACCATCAAACACAGACAAACTAACACTCCCCACCATCAAACACAGACAAACTAACACTCCCCACCATCAAACACAGACACAATAACACTCCCCACCATCAAACACAGACACAATAACACTCCCCACCATCAAACACAGACACAATAACACTCCCCACCATCAAACACAGACACAATAACACTCCCCACCATCAAACACAGACACAATAACGCTAACACTCCCCACCATCAAACACAGACAAACTAACACTCCCCACCATCAAACACAGACACAATAACACTCCCCACCATCAAACACAGACACAATAACACTCTCCATACTGAACACAGACACAATAACACTCTCCATACTGAACACAAACACAGACACAATAACACTCCCCACCATCAAACACAGACACAATAACACAATCCATACTGAACACAGACACAGACACAATAAAACTTGCCATACTGAACACATACACACACACAATAACACTCTCCATACTGACACAATATCACTCTCCATACTGAACACAAACACAGACACACTAACATTCCCCACCATCAAACAAGATCAAACACAGACACAATAACACTCTCCATACTGAACACAGACACAATATCACTCTCCATACTGAACACAAACACAGACACACTAACATTCCCCACCATCAAACACAGACACAATAACACTCCCCACCATCAAACACAGACACAATAACACTCCCCACCATCAAACACAGACACAATAACACTCTCCATACTGAACACAGACACAATAACACTCTCCATACTGAACACATACACACACACAATAACACTCTCCATACTGAACACAAACACAGACACAATAACACTCTCCATACTGAACACAGACACAATAACACTCTCCATACTGAACACAAACACAGACACAATAACACTTTCCATACTGAACACAAACACTAATTTTTCTTACAATTTGACACATGAAGAAAGTTATAATTAACTCGAAAAACCCGAAACAAATAACATAGGTCTTCTTCTAAATCTACAGATACATATCCAGTGGGTACATAGACAGGAAAAAAGTCCTCCTATAAAGACGTGACATTACAATATTGAAACATATATAAAATCACAAACACTCATTAGTCTAGAATCATGCATCAGCACCTTAACTAAAAATTCCGACAGATTACATGCACCTTCTACATACATACATAGTTGTAAACCCATCATCACATATACAACCTAAATGATGTTTTGGTGCTCAGGGCATACATTGACGTATTTGTACATACACTTAAACAGAATAAAATCTGGTTGTTCATTCAAAATTTGCTCATTATAATATGTACTTAATAAACGAGTGTTCTTATAGGTATACATTACGATTATGTATCGTACCAAATTAAAGTTGTAATCGAGAATTTGTTAACATGGGACGTGCACATTATCTTTATGTAAAACGCATTTGTGATTCTAATGCCATGTTTTTGCAATAAAGGTACATATATCTTTATCATTAATCTTTTTTGATATTCTTTCCGAAGTATTTGTGTTTTAGAAATTAACATATGATCATCCAATTCCAGTTTGCGCCACCAGATCGCCTAGTGATTAGATTGTTGAGTAATATATATGTAGGACAATTTCCTATCAAATTGTTTCTGAATGCTAATATGTCTATTCACCATTTGATTCCCACAGTTGTGTAAAGATTGAACAACGGCACAAACACCTGGGCCCGTATTCATGAAACCGTTCTCGTGCTCAAGCATGAATTTTGTACTCAAGCCTTATGTCTTGTTTAAGTTAAAAAGTAATAAATAAGACTGATTTTGCCAAAACTTTTAAACAAGTTTTGAAAGGACTTCAAATCAAAGTTATATTCAATGTTTATATTTGACATTTGTTTTATTTTATATAATTTAGGCGAAATAAAAAGAAAGTCTGCTTGAGCACAAGATCTGTGCTTGAGCATTAGAATGGTTTCATGAAAACAGGCCCAGGAGTGAGTTCGCTGATATTTTCATTTTGAATCCAATAATGGCAAATGACAACATGTTTTGTATTATCTACCTCACTCAATATTATATTTGTCACGCCTCGTTGGACATTAGGACAATTAACAAGAGTTAAACACTTCTAAGATTCCCTACGAATTCAATAACATATGCAGTAAATACCCAAAATAGTTAAAGATAAAATATATCAATGTGTGCCCTAGTAATTTCCTACCTAAGTTTCTTAAATGTAGAACGATTTGTGATGTCATGGAATCTTTTTATTGACGATTTCCGTTTTCATTTATGTCATCACATCACTAGCCTGTCGTGTCATGTCGTACGGTCATGCTACGAATATCGTAAGACACCGGTGTGACGTCATAGATAAGTCACGTTTTGATGACGTCATATGAATGCCTCGGTACCGTTCGTTTCGAAATCTGTCTGATAGGGAAATATTTTTTTATTTTGTTTTTTCATGATAAATGGAATCTCACATGAGTGCCGATGTAATATGAAATTGATCAATCTCGTTAATAATTTGATTAATCCATGTTCGTGACATATCCAATTTAATTCATTCAATGAATTCCATATTAGATCGACACATAAGGTTCAAGATGTATTTAATTAAGATAAATAGATGCTAACATATATGTAAAGATGGTGACCCCTTTTCTTAACATGACAAGAACGTATGACTTTGAAATTTGTATTACTTTAATGAATGCGACTGAATAACATGTTTCACAATGACTACAGCGCCAACCTTAGAATGATAGTTCAGTTTGTCACATTCTCTCCTGCATTCATGAACATCAACTCTAACTTCCTTCACAATTTTATAATAACCAGTTTACAGGTGAACATTTTCTTCAGTTTCTTTGATAATGGAAACTAGTTGCATTATCCAATTTACCGGATGCCTCTTTTTTAAAGACCCTATAATACTGTAAATTCATTAATTTTCGCATTATCCTAGTGTCCGTTGTTACTATCATATAAGGAACTGTTCAAATCGGTACAGGTAAATCCATTGAGCTGTATTTGATAACGAAATATTTAAAGTCAGCAACAGAACATTTTTTGTTTTTGATTTTATTTGTTGTTTTTTTTTTTTTTTTTTTTTCTGGTTTTTTTTTGTTTTTTTTTTTTTTTTTTTTTTTTTTTTTTTTTGTTTTTGTTTTTTTTTTTTTTTTTTTTTTTTTTGCAAAGCAGGAAAATTTAGCCCCGCAAAAATATGTCATTTTACAGTAGTTATCGTAACATATCCTCGTAATTACATGACATAGTTAATAAAAAACATCAAACAATTTTATAACCTTTATGTAAAATGATCAATTTTCCTAAATTTGAAAATGTTTTACAAAACTGAAATAAATAAAATAAGATATATATATATATATATAGATATTTATGGTTTTAATCTGATAAATTTCGATTACAGGGTATACAAGAACTTGCATATATACAGTCTATATCAGAGCAGATGTACTTGACTTTGATTTTGATAAACTTTCCAAACCGTTATAAATAACAAATAGTGTTTCAAATCAGTTATAGGATGTCCTCATACATCAGAGGACTATGTAACGTATGGAACGAAGCTAATAACATATTAGATAAGCAAGTTTGTATCATTAAGATCAACTTCAGAATAAACCAATTGTTAACATATATTTCGATGATTCAAGCGTGAGATAATATCGTAAGGATTACGTTTCATATATATAGAATTAAACAAGATTGATTGTTCAAAGACAAAGAGAGAATAAATGAACATTTCTATTCTGAAAACGTTTACGTTAGGAATCCTGAACCTCGATGCGGTAGTTCCAGAGAAATACATTTTCCTTATAATTTTTATGTAAAGTTGGATGTAAGTTCGGTGGTGTAGATATTCAGTATTTCACACCATTTTGTAAATCTTTGAGCGATTTTTCTCCTTTGTCCTCAGGTCTCAGCTGATGTTCCTTTAGACCGAGTGGGACAAGCATAAGCTTAAACGTCTGAAACAAAGAGATCGGTTAATACCACTGGGAAATATAGATTTAGTAAAATGGTTCTGAATACCACCTACTAGCTAGTCACTCCATCAATAAAGCATTTACAAATCTTCTGCACCAAAGTATATGAAATAACTAGAGAGTATCGACATATGTAGACACTTTTGATTCAAACATAAAATCTGTGAAACATGGGCAAAGTATATTAAACATTTATGTTTACGGAAAAACAATAGGGAAAGTAGAAAGAGAGATGCGTTTCGAAAGGGTAAGCGTCCTCTGCTAAATCGAAGACGTCAACCATATTATTCTAGGTACGTCCAATTTAGTAATGTCACGATCTCAAATGAGGAAAATGTTCCTGAAAAACAAAATCACTAGGATTACTTTATACCACACAAGGAGATGGAACATTCAGTACAATTGGCTAACCTTTATCGAAAATCCATATTTGACGAATTTGTGAATGATGAGTGTTGGAACCCAGACGGTAGACGACAACGCCATGATCCAGCCGATAGCAACAGCCCAGTCAGGATAGTGATATGTGGTCAATGGCCTCTTGTAATCAAGTTCTGAATACGTCACCGTGCCAATTAGGAAAAACACCTGAAAAATCATGTGCTTAAATTGTTAATTTGTTCGCTAGCTTAAGTCTGCTGTTGTAAAAGTTTCCAGCATAACATATGATATATTGATGAAATTTTGAGCTGATGAAAACGCCATTTTTCATTAACAAGGTCCTTGAGGATTCATGGTATGTATTAAACTGTTGTACCAACTGCAATGTTATACTTCCAAAAATGTACTGAAAATACCGACATATCAATTAAATCTCAACTCAGGCACCATTAAACTAGCGCAAAATATGGACAAAAGAAAAGATTTACACGACGACTACTGAAAAAGTACAAGGAGAATAAGTCCAGAGACTATACCCTCCATGTAAATCTTTGTCAGTGCAAGCATGTGATATCTCGTTTTTAACAAGACAAACATCAACAGATCAGCAGACAAACTAGCCAGCATCAAACACGTCCAGCTTTATATCGCACAAAGAAATAGAATATGTCCCGATGACATCTTTACGACCACCAAAGTACCAAAAATTGCTGTAGGAAACTAATGTATTCCTTAAAGATTGGGTCTTACACAAATTAGGAATTGAAATTAATAGTTGCTTACCGCACAAAACGTCGGCGACAGCACTGTCCAAGCTACCCACATATATCGATTGATACGCCATCCTAACATCATCTCGACGTTATCATAGAACCGGTTAATACCTGGTTACACAAAGCAGTGCTCAACATATATAAAACAAAACCCAATTCTGGAAACAATTTTAGGATCAAATAAGTACACGCCAAACAGCATTTAACAATTCATAATTTATCATGCTGTTTCATCCTTCCAGGAAGGGTTATGAGCAAAAATATTAAGACTTGAATGATATTTTCCGCCGACTTCAACCAATCTCAATTTATAGGCGTGACTGTAACAAGATATATATATATATTGTTTTGTATGTTATCATTAACCTTAGTTAAAGATGGTCCTAGATCTATTATATTGTTAACACAAATATTGCATAAATCTTAGAACGATTAATCATCCTTGTGTTGTGAACTACGACCTATTCCAGAGATCAAATGAAACAAATTTGTGATGAACACTCACCGTAGATCCAAGATATTGCTACACATTCGGAGAAGGCGATGAGAAGAATCACACGATTTCCAGAATAATAATCAAATATTTGAAATACATACATTCCACCCTGGAAATAAAGGACATGAATATAACGAAGAATTTCTATTTAAACAAATAATGTATTCCACATTATCATATACAAGAAGTAATCTTACCTGTGACACCATACTGAGTCCTATGAGAAACGATACAAAACACACGAGAGCTATGAATAACTCTTTCCTGTATCCACGTCGAAGGACATGAGCATACTGATCAACAACAGCTGTAATGAACCCTTCCATTTGTACAAACTGGAATTTAAAAAAAACAATGATCTGAAGATACGTAACAATCAGTGTGGTATCTGTCAATGAGAATACCAGTTAGGTAAAGGGACATAACTCTCTATATTAAATGTTGAACTCTTCAGTTTTTGAAGTCAAATAAAAAGTTGTTGAGTGTAATGGAACACATGTGTTGACTGGTGGTTTTACAACAAGACTAAATCAGGTTCAATCCGGGGATGAGTCAGTCAAGAACGATAGATGCTACAATCAGTAAAATTTAAAAAAACAACAACAACAATTATCTGAAGATACGTAGCAATCAGTAAAAGACATTTGGATGTTTGTTAATATGTTTAAAGATAATGTTTACATTCCTGTACATCAAACAAGTAACAATGGTTTATACCTGGCTGTCAATTCCTAGGAATATCAACATGATAAAGAAAAGGGCTGACCAAACCGGGGCTCCGGGCATCAGGGATACTGCCTTAGGGTAAGCAATGAAAGCCAAACCGGGACCTGAATAGCAACAAAATGTTGGTAGGTTGTATTAGTAAGAAACTAGCCAAATTCATTGAAAATAATCTCACAACGAAAATTTATTATTTTACAGTAAGTATTGTTTGACATGTACTTGGGTAAATGTTGGTACATTTTGATGAAGTGGCTTAACATTTGTCCTGCAAACGTCACAAAAATTAGCCAGAGGCAGCTTCCAGAAAAAGCAATATATTATGAAACAAAACAAACTACCTCCCGACGATACTAGTTTCAGTTTGGCATAAACCTTAGAATCCTTCGTGAACCTTCAATTAGTGATTACATGCATGTTGATTAATGACATGTAGTAGATAATCAGCGAAATGATTTACACAAATTTAGGAAATCGTGATTGTTGTATAAACAAATACAAGGTCTATTGCTGATCATTAGATATGAATATTTGACTCTACTTCAGTGTTGAATACACTGCAGGTTTTCGTACAAGCTTTGGTGTCTGCTGCGATGACCTGAGCTAAAGTTACAAAAGAACAGGAATTATCTGAAGCGGGTGGCCGGATATTGCGTCATTGTTACTAATGGTTACCTGACGACGCTACTTTATCCACCGTCGTGTCCTGGAGGAACGCCATGTGACCCAGAATTGTAAATATCAGGAATCCCGCAAATATACTTGTGCCAGAGTTAATAAGGGCGAATATTGTCACATCTCTGTAAGCAACGGAGAGCAAACTTAAACTTACCGACAAGCGTGTCAATAGATATTTCCTGTTTGAACAGGTGAGAGGAGGAACACGACATGAAACTGATTATCACTAAAGGTTATAACATTAATGGAAACAGGTGTAATCCCCACATCGTCAAGATTTTCATCAAGGTAATATCACTGGAAGAAGATACATCAATCATTAGGCACTTTACCTCATTATTTTGTGAACTGATACCGGTTGTATTACAACGATACGTGTACATCCTAGTGACTGACTCGATACTATTTCTGATAAGAATTCAACGTTATCCATACAAGTAATACAAGTTTGGGAACAGAAATAACAACACAGAAACAATTCTACTCAAAACTAGATAAATGAAAAGCAAATCAAATCAGAAAATAATAATAAAAATAAATCCACCTCCATTTCCACCAATATGTAAACTTGAGACATACATACGGATTAACCTCATAGAATATCAAAACGCTGTTATTCTTTCATATTCGACAAAATCTGGTATATTATTTATACAATACAGCCCTAAGATATCGGAAATGAAAATCTATGATTCGTATTATGCAAAAAGGATGCGTTTAAAATACTACACCTATTAATCAGAGATGATAATATCATTAAGTACTATTTTGCCTTACTCCTACAGTACCGCAGTTTCAGAAATGCACACTATGCTATACTATACAGTGCCTGTAAGAATTATGGTGGAATTTGTTGTAGCTGCCGAGAGCTGTCAGAGCTCCGATTCCTATGGAATAGGACCACATAATTTGTGTCGAGGCATCAACCCAAACCTGCAAAATAAATGTGAAATAGCTGTGATGACCCCCGCAGGGGTTGCAAAGCCCTTCAGGGCTATAAATATATTAAAGGTGCACCCATGTTTCCGGAGTAAGTTTTAAAATCCTTCATTGATTTTCATGATTTCTGAGAACACATTCGAAAAAAGCTGTTTGTAGTCACACATTGGAACGTGTAATTTGTAGATACACATTCGAACGTTCATTTGTTAAACATTCGAACATTTCGGTTGTAGTTCGGCATTTTTCTAACGTTAATTTGTAGTTACACATTTAAACATCCTGGTTAAAGTTACACATTCGAACGTTACGCCTGTAGTTACACATTCGAATATTAAGTTTGTAGACATTCTAACATCTAGTTTGAAGCTAAATATTCGAATATAGTTAGATATTAGAACGTTAATATTGTAGTTACACATTCGAACGTTTAGTTTATAGTTAGGCATTCGAACATTTAGTTTGTAGTTAGATATTCGAACATTAAGTTTGTAGTTAGATATTCGAACGTTTAGTTTGTAGTTAGATATTCGAACGTTTACTTTGTAGTTACACATTTGAACGTTTAGTTTGTAGTTAGATATTCGAACTTTGTTTAGTTTACGTTTAGTTTGTAGTTAGATATATTCGAACATTAAGTTTGTAGTTAGATATTCGAACGTTTAGTTTGTAGTTAGATATTCGAACATTTATTTTGTAGTTACACATTTGAACGTTTAGTAGTTAGATATTACGTTTAGTTTGAGTTATTCGAACATTTAGTTTGTAGTTAGATATTCGAATATTTAGTTTGTAGTTAGATATTCGAATATTCAGTTTGTAGTTAGATATTCGAACGTTTAGTTTAGTTTGTAGTTAGATATTCGAACGTTTAGTTTGTAGTTACACATTCGAACATTTAGTTTGTAGTTAGATATTCGAACATTTAGTTTGTAGTTAGATATTCGAACGTTTAGTTTGTAGTTAGATATTCGAACGTTTACTTTGTAGTTACACATTTGAACGTTTAGTTTGTAGTTAGATATTCGAACGTTTAGTTTATAGTTAGATATTCGAACGTTTAGTTTATAGTTACACATTCGAACGTTTAGTTTGTAGTTAGATATTCGAACATTTACTTTGTAGTTACACATTTGAACGTTTAGTTTGTAGTTAGATATTCGAACGTTTAGTTTGTAGTTAGGCATTCGAACGTTTAGTTTGTAGTTAGATATTCGAACATTAAGTTTGTAGTTAGATATTCGAACATTTAGTTTGTAGTTAGATATTCGAATATTTCGTTTGTAGTTAGATATTCGAATATTTCGTTTGTAGTTAGATATTCGAATATTTCGTTTGTAGTTAGATATTCGAACGTTTAGTTTATAGTTACACATTCGAACATTTAGTTTGTAGTTAGATATTCGAACGTTTAGTTTGTAGTTAGATATTCGAACATTTAGTTTGTAGTTAGATATTCGAACATTTAGTTTGTAGTTAGATATTCGAACGTTTAGTTTGTAGTTAGATATTCGAACATTTAGTTTGTAGTTAGATATTCGAACATTCAGTTTGTAGTTAGATATTCGAATGTTTAGTTTGTAATCTAATTTTCCAGTGTTTAGTTTGTATTATAAGTCAGAACATTTATTTCGTAGTGAAACATTCGAATGTTTAGTATGTAGTTAAACATTCGAACATTTAATTTGCAGATACACATCTGGCCCTTGTTGTAAATGACTGAACCAGAAAACGCCAACAGTAAATTACTCAACCAGGCAGCATCAACAGTAAATTACTGAACTAGGCAACCTCAACAGTAAATGGCTGAACCAGGCAGCGTCAACAGTAAATTACTAAACCAAGCAGCGCCAACAGTAAATTACTAAACCAAGCAGCGCCAACAGTGAATTATTGAACCAAGCAGCGTCAACAGCAAATTACTGAACCAGGCAGTGTCAACAGTAAATTACTGAACCAGGCAGCGTCAACAGTAAATTATTGAACCAAGCAGTGTCAACAGCAAATTACTGAACCAAGCAGCGTCAACAGTGAATTACTGAACCAGGCAGTGCCAACAGTAAATTACTGAACCAGGCAGTGTCAACAGTAAATTACTGAACCAGGCAGTGTCAACAGTAAATTACTGAACCAGGCAGTGTCAACAGTAAATTACTGAACCAGGCAGTGTCAACAGTAAATTATTAAACCAGGCAGCGCCAACAGTAAATTACTGAACCAAGCAGCGTCAACAGTAAATTATTGAACCAAGCAGCGTCAACAGTAAATTACTGAACCAGGCAGCGTCAACAGTGAATTACTGAACCAAGCAGCGTCAACAGTAAATTACTGAACCAAGCAGCGTCAACAGTAAATTACTGAACCAGGCAGTGTCAACAGTAAATTATTGAACCAAGCAACGTCAACAGTAAATTACTGAACCAAGCAACGTCAACAGTAAATGGCTGAACCAGGCAGCGTCAACAGTAAATTACTAAACCAGGCAGCGTCAACAGTAAATTACTGAACCAAGCAGCGTCAACAGTAAATTATTGAACCAAGCAGCGTCAACAGTAAATTACTGAACCAGGCAGTGTCAACAGTAAATTACTAAACCAGGCAGTGTCAACAGTAAATTACTGAACCAGGCAGTGTCAACAGTAAATTATTGAACCAAGCAACGTCAACAGTAAATTACTGAACCAAGCAACGTCAACAGTAAATTACTGAACCAGGCAGTGTCAACAGTAAATTACTAAACCAGGCAGTGTCAACAGTAAATTACTGAACCAGGCAGTGTCAACAGTAAATTATTGAACCAAGCAACGTCAACAGTAAATTACTGAACCAAGCAGTGTCAACAGTAAATTACTGAACAAAGCAGTGTCAACAGTAAATTACTGAACCAGGCAGTGTCAACAGTAAATTACTAACCCAGGCAGCGTCAACAGTAAATTACTAAACCAGGCAGCGTCAACAGTAAATTACTAAACCAAGCAGCGCCAACAGTAAATTACTAAACCAAGCAATGTTAACATCTAATAACCGAAATATTCACTGAAATTACACGGGGTCGGACATGTGACCCCATATCTCTTCATATCCGGTTGAGAAATGACATTCCTGTCATTTTCTTAATAAACAAGAGTTGGGTTTGTTATATTAACAGAGTCACCTAACTCGATATCTATATATATACATTCTACTCACGCTATAGATATTTAGTTCCGAAATGTCATGCAACTGTTTATATGTAACAACTTTACTTATTTTTACAGTTAAGTGTATAGATTAATCTTTACACTTAGTGCACTTGTAGTGCACGAGATTACGACTAAGTTTAGACGGGGTTTAGACTACAGGTAAACTTCTAGGCCTGGTACAGGTGATGCTGCTATCTCCCCTAATATAGAACGGCCAGTGTACACAGTTACCTGTGATTTTTACCTGTGTATTGTCTGAAGTCCTTACCTGTATAATATCCTACAGCTGTATGAATTACCTTTTATTCTAATGTAAATTCTTACGCATTTCATAATTTAAAACAAAAGTAAATTGAATAACTACAAACTCACAATGATAATTAATTGTTAGGAAACATGGACTTTATAGAAACAAAAGATCTGTGATGAATGAAATTCATCCTATTTGGAGGAGATGTTATATAATTTAAAAAGTTTAATTGGTTAGGAAATTGATTAATTGAAAGCATTATCCACTGGAAATTCTCAAACGTGTAATCAAAAATAGCTGTTTGATAGATATAAGAGAAAATATACTTAAATGGTTTGATTTGAAACATAAACGAATAAAAACTTCTAGAAATATATTATTGTGTTGAGGTCAAAAGTTTATATTTAGAAAAAAACTACTTTATTATTATACCAAAGTTTGATAATTTAGACAGAAGTGCTTAATTTCAATTTATCAGGAATATACATGTAATTTTAAACCTCTACCTTTTATAAGCCGGGGGTTCGGCTACAGGTGAAATCGGTAACGGCCTTTTTCAGTCATTAAACTAGATACATCTTAATAGGTTTAAATGATGCACTGACGTCAACCATAATCAAACTTAGGTATATAATAGACATTAGGTAGAACGGACTTTTTAATCAGTGAAACATATATCTTCAAGGGAGGCGGATCCAGGTAAGTACAGGGAGTGATTAGCCTTTTATTGATGAAAAAAGCTGACTTGCTTAAAAATTATTATAGTTGAGTTTACATTCCATGTTGAGGTGATTGTTATGGGTGGTCTTTGCATAGAAACCACACGAGGGCTTACACACATGTTAAATGTTTAATTCAACGTGAAAGCTTACACCTACACAGTATAGCGAGAGTTCCAGTACCTATGACACAGTCGAGCTACAAGTAAATAATTTATCTGATTATGTTATATGATAAACAGAATCTTGAACTTGGGTCAGTGCTTGGTGTGATCCTGCCGGAGTAATTATTGATGGTATCACCTAATGTTCTCTATATGATTTTTCCTTTCTTCTTCATTTATTTTTCCTTATTTAGCAACACATTTTTGTTAATATCTGTGTTACTTTTTAATAACATTGTACAATATGAATTACCAGATAAATGTTTTGTCGCCAATAATTCCGAGCGTAAAAGTTAATGTTATGGTACCAAATAAACAGTACTGTAATATAAGGTACATAACCACGCATCCGCACAGGTATAACCACAGGTATCCGTACAGGTATAACCACAGGTAGCGGAACAGGTAACACCACAGGTAGCCGTACAGGTAAAACCACTGGTAGTCGTACAGGTAAAACCGCAGGTAGCGGAACAGGTATAACCACAGGTAACCGTACAGGTAAAACCACAGGTAGTCATACAGGTAAAACCACAGGTAGCGGAACAGGTATAACCACAGGTAACCGTACGGGTAAAACCACAGATAGCCGTACAGGTAAAACCACAGGTAGTCGTACAGGTAAAACCACAGGTAACCGTATAGGTAAAACCACAGGTAGCCGTACAGGTTAAACCACAAGTAACCGTACAGATAAAACCACAGGTAACCATTGGTTGTATAGTCCCTGGACTGAAACACCAGGAGGCTATGATATCTATCCATTATATATCAGGGATCTTTCACATTACCTGTGTGGACTTTAGTGCACTACTAGTTTGCCTATAGTCTGTTTCTTGTGAACTAGAAGTATTTTCCTCGTGCCCTTCACGTGTACTAGGACGTAAAGATTAGTCTACACTCAACTGTAAGCATCGCAATTCCGTTGCTTCGGCTCTTTTTATTATCAGATATGTTGCTGTCAATTAAGTTCGTACAACACGTAATAACAATAAGTTTTATCTCTAAATTCTCTAAGGAATAAAGAAAAAACGTCCCTGTCAAGTTCGTTCATTGGTTACAGAAGTATAGGCGGTACCAACACAAATTCGATCAAACAAGGATCAAAAACATGACCAAAAGAAAACATCGCACAAATTCCTGGATAAAGTAAAAGCGAATAAGAATCAGGTGTTCTAGAAGGGTAAGCGAATTCTGCTTGATCGCCGACATCAGCTACATGATTTTTGGTTAATTCGAGTAATCATATCTTCTTCAATGAGAATTATGTTTGCAACAAAATAAATCATCAGACATAAAGTACCGATCACATCTAATTTCATACTTGTATCACATACACACACACACACCCAAACACACACACACCACATACCACACACACCACACACACACCACCACCACCACCACCATACACACACATCTTACACATACATCATTATTTGGCCACCTTTCCCTGAAGTCACTTCAACTACACGAACAATCAATTAAATGTTGATATAGAATCTTATGAGATTAAGATATCCAAGGTAAACGAGGAAGGTCTGCATCCTTACCATTGATGGGAAACCCTTAACTGATATTTCATTCTCAGAAAACAAGGAAAATGTATTGTTTGTAAAAAAAAAACATTTGATTAGCAAATCACAATCACGAAATATATCTATTATATTTGAACACTTTTTCGTAGTTTATTTAAAAAAATTGCCAACGTAAATCATTATTTATTTATATTTTTGTATCGTTCATTCATGAAGACAAGACATAATTTGTCTTCACTCAAACCCTTGGAAAGAGCCCAACAGGATAAACACAGAAAGACATTCTTGTGGAACAATGGCGATCCCAATGTTTGATCTGTGTATACAAATAGACTTGATCGCTATTTCTATTGTAACTAACAGTCATCGGAATCAAAGGAAACTTAAGTTATTACAGTAGATGGATACTTAATAGTTAGCACATCTTTCAAATAAATAAGTAGGTATTTCCGTAAGTAAAGAAAACATGGAACTCGTGTTCATGACCATTTATCTAAAACTCAAAAGTCCGAATTCATCGTACTTCGAAGACTCAGACTTTTTTTGAGAAAAGGGAGTTTTTATTGCCCAATATCACTTGCCTCAATTATATCTTTGATACTTTCACCTATCACTCTCATCTACAGACACATGAAATTAATCACCCAGCTGACACTCTGCACACTTAAGTATATTACTTATATAATAAACTTTACAATATCAGTCTTTTTTCTCTTCCTGAAATGAATCACTACCTACTAAGGTGATGGACGTTAAACTAAACAGGGCTGATATTATTTAAATTCAGGAAGGGTGATTCACTGTTTTGTTGTCGCTTGTAGTCGTGGAGTGTTGGCTTGTTAACTGAAACAAAATTTCTATAAAGTAATTTAACTTCTTTAACGTCGCTGACTACAAAGCTTTTTAAAATCATATCGTTTAAAATCTTGAATAAAATCATCCCGCATTATTTATTACATATTTAGAAGTGTAATAAATATGCATTTGAATGAATAAACATTTCTTATTCGTTACATGTTGAAAATATTAAGATATTTAAAAATATATATAATAGAATTCATATACGCTCCTAACGCCGTATCACCAGCTGCTGTCTCGGTATTTTCGCTGTGACTTTGAGCTGTGAAATAATGAGACGCTTATGTATTTATTCACATCCGGATCGGGAAATTTTCAATGCAAAAAAATTAACTCATTAAAATTGATGAAGCTATATGATGTCCTGAATTTTGATTCTTTAGAATTGGGTTGTGAAACGGTTATAAAGGAATGTGTTCGTGATTATGTAATGGAAGAAACGAATGTCCTGTAAGATTACGTCTTTTTGTGAATAAACTTGACCTTGCGAAGACATTTCGTCTCAAGTGAATGTCTTACAAGGTCTGCTTGATTAGTGGTCTAACCAATACTTGCCCCAATATCCAAAAGTTTGGCTAAATCTGGTTTTAGATAATAGATCACCCCATCTATAGCACCGTCCAGTATGGAGTTACGTATGAGAAGTGCTATCATGAAAAAGTATGGGGCAGTCGCAGTGACGTACATCACCTGTAGAAAAAAAAGAGAAAAAAGTTATCACACAATTCATGTATGTAATCTTATCAGAAGATGATGATGATGATGATGATGATGATGATGAAAGTTTTCCGTCGCCGGACAGAGTCCAATCGACGTGCGTCGACTATCTGGCAACTTGAATGTAATGCCAGTAAACCAAACCGGATGTGATGTACTCACCTTACCGGAAGATCGGATTCCTTTACAGATGCACACATACACGATGACCCAGGCTAATAGGAGACACAGGGCAAGGTCCCACTTTATGGTTCCCGTGTTCTCAATCCCATCTGATATACCTAACACTTTTCTCCTGGTGGATAAGAATTCAGAATCTCAGAGATAAAATTTCACAAGAATATGATTATCTTTCGCTGAAATGTGATGTTTTTGCTACATTTTTGGCGAACCCCATCATTATTATTGCCGTCATTTGTTATCTTGTCCGAACAAACCCCGTCGACAATGCTATTGAATCAGTATCTATATTAAGATATAATGTTTTCTACTTTCATAATTACTACAATGAAATGTATGGGCAATTGTAAACACAGGATGGAATGTTGCTTTCACTAACATTTTTTTAAAAGTTTTTAACTGGACAAGGTAATCAAAGTAATAATATACATCTCTTAGATTACATAGCATGACATAGAATATTACGTATGTTTATTAAAAGTGTAATGAGAATGAAAAAAATAGATCGGCAGAGATAAACAGCATGAACACATCTTCACTACAATCCACATTAGTTCCAAATTCGAAGAGTATACCAACACTTGTTTTCTTACCAACCTGAAAATATAATACAAGACATGAAACAAAAAAATGATATAAAAATAAACTTACTCCCAAAACTCATTGACGGGATCGATTCTAATCAATGCAACATGTTTGGTGGCATTGTAGGTAGAATTCGACCAGGTGTTGTTAACGATGAGGTTGGTATCAGCCTCTGTCATATTGACCACCGTTTTATTGGCGCCAGTAAAGTCATAACAGTGTTCTGTGTTCCATTCATGGCCACAAGACTTCCAGGGAAGCTCGGAGGTGAAGGAGGAGAACACGTAGTAAAGTGCCCAACATATGATCACGTTGTAGTAACAGTTGAGGTAAAACACAACCGTGGTCGTTACACCGCCAATTCCTGTAAAATACGTGTAAATTTACACCTAATCTCGCTATGTTCACAACGCCCCCTATATCTTAGATAGGTATATTTGTTTCATACGTCAGGAATTATCATTAACACGTGAGGTCATGATGTTGGGATACAATCAATAACGTATACGGATCTTTGATATACTATAGTTTCGCCAGACATTTATGATAAATTTCATTTAATGTATATATGATATAAATCACTGAAAATGTTTTTATTTTTATTTTTTTAAATAAGACGAAATGCAACATGTTGTGTATGTTAGAGGTACCTTGGAATAATGGACAGATATTCCATGCTTTGAAACCGCTGACCCCCATGAACTGACCAATGGCTACTTCCAGGAAGAAGAGGGGTACTCCGGCCACCACCACACATGTTATGTAAGGGATGAGGAACGCTCCTAAAACAAGGACAAGAGGTATTATACCCTGAACACCTGTATCACATCAGTTTATTTATACTTATAACGAGCTTACAACCTCTATATCACATAAATATCTTTATAATATCGCCTGTTAAGGTCTTCATGTCATCAACTTCGGCATGTATTCATTAAGAAGTGTTTTTGGACGACCATAAACAAGCAAGTTTATATTTAGATAAACGACAGTACAATATTAACAGCTCATGTCCTGTCACCTTAGTTAGTAGTAAAGTTATTTTCATTGAACACTTTTAGGTGGTCTTTCTTCTGGAAGTTGCACATTTTAACAACTATTTCCATAGTTAATATTCTCCTGGAGCCATTTCTCCTGACATATTTACCTCAAAGAACGTGAACGCGGTGTTATATATACTACCTGAATTATCCCAACATGGGATTCAGTTTACTTAATCACGTCTACTACGACCTTTCGGTGGACGAGGAAAACTAGGAAAATGAGTAGTAATTAAATAGTATGAAGTGACGGGAGAGAGTGAGATACAGAGATGAGGTAGGAAGGGGCCGTCTATACTATCAGGGACTGGAGAGAGTGAGATACAGAGATGAGGTAGGAAGGGGCCGTCTATACTATCAGTGACAGGAGAGAGTGAGATACAGAGATGAGGTAGGAAGGGGCCGTCTATACTATCAGTGACAGGAGAGAGTGAGATACAGAGATGAGGTAGGAAGGGGCCGTCTATACTATCAGGGACTGGAGAGAGTGAGATACAGAGATGAGGTAGAGAGGGGCCGTCTATACTATCAGTGACAGGAGAGAGTGAGATACAGAGATGAGGTAGGAAGGGGCCGTCTATACTATCAGTGACAGGAGAGAGAGATACAGAGATGAGGTAGGAAGGGGCCGTCTATACTATCAGTGACAGGAGAGAGTGAGATACAGAGATGAGGTAGAGAGGGGCCGTCTATTCTATCAGGGACTGGAGAGAGTGAGATACAGAGATGAGGTAGAGAGGGGCCGTCTATACTATCAGTGACAGGAGAGAGTGAGATACAGAGATGAGGTAGAGAGGGGCCGTCTATACTATCAGTGACTGGAGAGAGTGAGATACAGAGATGAGGTAGAGAGGGGTCGTCTATACTATCAGTGACTGGAGAGAGTGAGATACAGAGATGAGGTAGAGAGGGGCCGTCTATACTATCAGTGACTGAAGAGAGTGAGATACAGAGATGAGGTAGAGAGGGGCCGTCTATACTATCAGTGACTGGAGGGAGTGAGATACAGAGATGTGGCAGAGAGGGGCCGTCTATACTATCAGTGACTGGAGAGAGTGAGATACAGAGATGAGGTAGAGAGGGGCCGTCTATACTATCAGTGACTGGAGAGAGTGAGATACAGAGATGAGGTAGAGAGGGGCCGTCTATACTATCAGTGACTGGAGAGAGTGAGATACAGAGATGAGGTAGAGAGGGGCCGTCTATACTATCAGTGACTGGAGAGAGTGAGATACAAAGATGAGGTAGAGAGGGGCCGTCTATACTATCAGTGACAGGAGAGAGAGATACAGAGATGAGGTAGGAAGGGGCCGTCTATACTATCAGTGACTGGAGAGAGTGAGATACAGAGATGAGGTAGAGAGGGGCCGTCTATACTATCAGTGACTGGAGGGAGTGAGATACAGAGATGAGGTAGAGAGGGGCCGTCTATACTATCAGTGACAGGAGAGAGAGATACAGAGATGAGGTAGGAAGGGGCCGTCTATACTATCAGTGACTGGAGAGAGTGAGATACAGAGATGAGGTAGAGAGGGGCCGTCTATACTATCAGGGACTGGAGATAGTGAGATACAGAGATGAGGTAGAGAGGAGCCGTCTATACTTTAAGTGACTGGAGAGAGTGAGATACAGAGATGAGGTAGAGAGGGGCCGTCTATACCATCAGTGACTTGAGAGAATGAGATACAGAGATGAGGTAGAGAGGGGCCGTCTATACCATCAGTGACTGGAGAGAATGAGATACAGAGATGAGGTAGAGAGGGGCTGTCAATACTATCAGTGAGTAGAGAGAGTGAGATACAGAGATGAGGTAGAGAGGGGCTGTCTATATTATCAAACGTAATAAAATTATAACTGACCGCCATTTTAAGTCCCATCCAACGGACTGTCCCGTAAGAGTTACTTGTTAGTACGGGTGGTAGTGTTGATATGTTTTTAGTGTCCGTTTGTAAGTATTCTTTCCATTTCTGTCTGTCAAGCTGTAAACTGTTTTTAAGTTAACACTGTCTAAAATTGTCTATAAAGACAATGAAATTGATATGCCTCATGATTTTTATAGGTCGGATTGGACTCGAACTGGCTGGGTTACATCCGACAAACATAGCATACCACCCATTGTTATACAATCTAGGGCCGTGATATAAAGACACAAACACGCCAACGGAAAAAAGGTTGAAATTAGACCAATAAGTACATTTTACATATTACAGCTTTAGAAAGTATGTTTTTATTTATTTTCCTGTCAACTTATTTGCATGCAAAGTAAAGTTGATAATTTGAGAATCCTAAATCGGCTTTTTGATCCTTTTTTTTTTAGTTTTAAAAATAACTTAAATATGTCAGTCCGAAAGATACCATTAAACTGAGATAAACATGCGTGTCGCCTGGCTGAATTGATAACACGGTTAGATTTTTTAGGATATCCGGTATCCATCCCTTTTTCCTACCGATTATTTTGTTTGTATGAAGGTATAAACATATGATACTGCTATTAAGATCCTTATTTTTGCGAAAGAAATTTTGTTTTTGACGATAAAATAATTGCCCATGACGTCAGTCTGTAACTGGATCGGCCGACTTATATAGCTAGAAATTCCTAAACTTCTCCCCTGTTATAGCGTGTCACTGACTCGGTAGTGTATTGCGTCAACTGACTGTAAAAATCATGAAAAAATAATTTAAACGAGTTTCTGAAAGTATAATAACCACAACTTAAGATCGTTTGTCAGCTGAAATAAGATATCATAATCATATACTCATGCAAAGCACGTTCATCTGCACCAGTTATTGACAGTTACAGCAGTTTGAGATGAAGTTAATTTTTTTTTATTTAAGCGCTAAGCACAAAATATCTACACTATCATCAAATCACACTATACAAAGTGTCCAGCCAAAAGTGGCTTACTAGACAATATATCATATAGTAAAAAGTGTTAGCACTTTCAACAAGTACTTGGTAATAATTGGAAATAATCCGAGTCTGAATTTGCAAATTAAAAGCTAAAAATACTATGGAAAGATCATAATTGTTGTCATCCGCTTAAGACAGTGCTGGTTTGAGGAAGATTATTCTGCTCCTGCAATATATATCAGAAGTGTTTAAACTTGTCCATTTCATAAAAAATTCACACAGATTATTTACTTTAGATGAAATTATTGACGGAAGTGAAACACAATTCATTAAAAATTCTGCTTATTTTCTACAACAGTATGAATTACATGATATAGTATTGTATGGTAGGCTATGTCTACGTTTTTCAATTTCCAGAAACTTGAAATTACAAAGCATCACATCGGTTTGGGGTGAGAAAAGTGTACACTTTGTAACTATCAGGGAATGAAAATTCGAGACCGAAAAATCAAGTTATCAATACTGTTTAGTAGAAGAAAATGAATAGATATATTTAAAAGAAAGTCCCATATCACGGTGAGTAAACGTTGAGATCCCTTTATTGCTGGGCATGATCTCGTAAATAAACGTCTAAAGAAAACGCTTGAGTCATACCTGAAACAGGGAAATCTCATGTGCTACCCAGCGGAAGATTATCTCTGACTATCGGGTACTTTTTGCACCATGTGACGTCATGATTTAGATGATGTCATAATCAATTATATTTATGACGCCTAATCGAAAGGGGAGGTAATCCAATCGAGTCCATCAATTTCTAAATGAAAGTAGTCGAGAAAGGTTTATGACATGTAGAGATGACAATGAAGGAGAACAATATACTGGTTTGCCGCAGTCTTGGACTTACATTCTGTAACATCTTATTCTCGGCTTCGTCTCGAATGAGATTTTGTTACAAAAGTCCTTCCTCGACCCAGTCGATCTGGAATACATACATACATACAGATTCTATCAATCTTTCTTTTCTTTAATGTTAAATCTCCACCGTTCTAGGTTTTCGTAGCTCTGTCTTAACTTTCCATTAAATAGCACTGCCGCCACAATGCAATTTGTGATTCATTTCCAGTTCTTGTTTCTTTTAATTTTGCATTCTGGATAGAAAGATGATTTCTCTTTTCTGTATGTTTAGAAAAAATATCAAAAACTAAATGAAAATTTGTAACTAGATATTAAGTTTGAAATGTTACTACCAATAGTATTGATACAGCACTCCAGTTTTTTACAAGTCTTATCTGCCAACAGATTATCGTACAGCCGGTTATTTTCGCGTGGATGATATTTTCATTGTTTCACTGTACAATGAACTGACCACGAAATTTTAATGCAGTCTTCGCTTCATCTTTGTCTATTTTCATTTTTATAAGCAACACACTTGTTATGAGGGCAGATATTTTTTAAGATCTAGGTCTAACTATTTTTCCTAATGAAAAAAACAAACAACATAATATTTTCCGGCTTTGAATACAAGCGAGTGATAGTTTGGAATACATCAGGATAGTTTGGAATACATCAGATGACAGACATTTTAATTAAATTTTGCTTAATTATCCAGAGGTCCCTATATCAAGCAGACTCTACCTTCTTCAGTTTACAACTGTCTGTTAATATGTGATCCTCTCGGATTTCGTTATAGAATAAACCAGAATTCGCCTTATGATATGATCCAGTGAAGGTCCAGTGACAAACACGGAACGTAAATAATGTGTCAGCCTAAAGGATATAGTTATACTGTTGCACTAAGTCACTTTCCGGTAGGTTTGTGAGGCTTTGTCACGCCTAGGTAAATATCTACGGAATCCCATACATGCCACTGACACCGTGCAACGCGTCAGCTGAAAGGCAAAATAGTATACTAGTAGACATTTAACCTGTTAAATATGAACGAGCAAAAGAGATGTACGAATCAAATTGAAACATCTACCAACTTGTAAAGCCTTGTCACAACCATTAAAACGGTGTACACTGAGATGAAGGGAAACTAGATGAATTGTCGTTAAAACGAGGTCTACCACACTTAACAACATGTGGGAGGTCCGACGCATGCTCTCCAAGAAATTGAGTGAAATTTCTTTCTTTCGGTTACAGCCATGACACCATATGGCTGTCATTAATTTCACCTTCATGTGAAACACGACACGTTCCTATCTGTCCGCCATGTCTAAGGAGAAATAATTTGGGGAATATTGAACTTAAACGGCTGCCGATTTCCATAAATTCCAACTCTGAACGCCTTTATCTTCGATTCTTGTAAAGCTAATTTCTGGTGTGTAGACACAAATTCGAGACTGTCCCAATAATAATCTCCAACAAATGCAAATTGTCATCCTGAAAAACATGAAACCCCACATTGTCCACTTCAACATTACAAGACCAAATTTTACAAGGATTTATTTTTCAAACTTTCAGTAAAACCTTTACAACTGGCAAATCTAATGAACAAAAATATTACCCATGGCCACATTGAGAGACTGTATACTGCTACCTGTATTTTCGCACGTACATTAATTCGACAGAATTACTTCCTGAAATAACTTAAAAATACTTATTTTGTTATAAAAATTGCTGTCATTTTTGCGCGGAACAATTATTTTGGTGTACGTTATCAGGTAAAATTTAGTGTAAAGTTAACGGCAGATAAACAAAGATTGAACAACAAAGCTGTTTCCGTGATCTGAATTTCAATTTATGTTTTTGGATAAATAGAATATATAACCGGTGTCTTAAAGTACAGGCTATATACATTTTTGTATATCATTATCACTAAGCCTTTGTGTTTCCGTGAAGTAAGAACCCCTTCGTCCGTGATCAGTCGCTATTATCACAGCACATAACGAGAACTTTAGACTCCTCGAATGAATGAAAAATGTCATTGCCGACACAACATATTTTCAAGCTGCAGTGGGGAGATAGAAACACACAAAAGTTCTAAAATACTTTAAATTGATTATCAACAACACCTAATAGTTTAAAACGCACTGTGCTATTTTTTTTAAAGATCGCTTGTGTTAGAAACAGTCTCTTCAACACGTAGTTTCTTTAAATCGATTTTTCTATAATTTCTATGAATTTATTTATTCATGATGTAAGATTTTTGTGCTTCATATTTGACTTTTTGTGATTGAGTGTGCTCTTTGTGACATGTTTGTGAAACAAAACAACAGTGAAGAAAACGTATCCTTAGGCAGCTTTTAGAACACTCTATCAGACTCTGATACCGCTACGCTATATATACACGGATGCAATGACCTCGTGAACTCTGTTGTCTGGTCGTGGACTTTCGTTGTGAGTCTATTCACTCCTCAAATAAGACGTAATCATAACCAAGCTGATGGGAACTTTACTCAAATCGTTAGGTGTCCATCATGTTTGAGAAGGCAGATTGACTCCTCAAACGAGACACAGAAAAAAAAATATCTTCAGTTCTAATATATACAGTAAGAAATAGTCGAAAGACAACACGATCAAATTCGTACATAACGTCTGGTGATAAAGGTACTCTATCAGGCCGCTATATGGACCCAAACCTAAAGAGCAGAAAAGCTATGACTTTGATCAAGCATAAGATGGCCGTTTTAGTCAGCTCCAGACCGATCAGAAGTGACTGTCTGAGTAAATTCACCAGCCCACTAACGTCCATGTTAGTATAGAAAAAACTAGAGAACAGAGGAATTCGGGCAACATTATAAACAAAGAGAGAGAGAGAGAGAGAGAGAGAGAGAGAGAGAGAGAGAGAGAGAGAGAGAGAGAGAGAGAGAGATTGGAGACGATGTAAAAAATATTTAATTGATATTTTACACATCATTTCACATCTGAAACAACCAACAATATAATTGTTTCATATTTAAATGTTTCCTTTTGAAACAAAATAGAAAATAGAAAAACACCATGTAATCTCTCTCAAATAAGGAATGATATGAGTATTCGATGCAAGAGCTTTGCATCTGAGAGCAGGGATCTTATCACTGTGCTACTGTTACGTTATTGATACTAGACTTATTAATTGTAGAGTTTGAAATGTCGATGTTTCTTTCAAAAAAGAAAATTGAATCCTGTTTGTCTGTTAAAGTTATTACTAATAGAATTTACACTGACAGTTTAACACAATGGAGAAACGTCCAGTGTCTTTCGATCAGTTTGGATTTGCCTTAGTCGCCTCTTGGCATTCAGAATTTAGTCCCTTGATATCACTGATGAGAGGAATAAGGGCGAAACTGTTGTAAGGTGCAGTTTAATTCATTACTTGGCGCTACTGTATCTAACGTTTGAAGGCTTCCTTTTGGAGGAGACAAACCCCACCATCCACCCTTTTGTGTATTTTCTTATATATGTTCTGTAAAGACGTCTGTGTTGGTAAACACTCATTTGCATACATGGTGCTGTTTCACTTAAAATTCAATGCAACCAATAAAACCAAACCTACCTTGAGGTATTTTTGTTTATAATAACCATTTGGTTACTTTACGTAGCAATAATTTTACGAAAAAAAAACTGAAATACGGAGAGATTTTGAAGCTATTGGGTACTGGTGTAGCGGATCTGTTTCACAAACGTTCAATATACGTTACCTATACCGTGATACACAAAGGGCATCAGGTAAAAATATTAAATAAGATTATTTAAACGGAGGTGAGGACCGAAATTTAATTTCACAATTTACAAAATGTGATACCCGACATTACTTCAATATCTGATTTCGTTGGTATTCTTAAATTAGTGTGCTTTGAAGTGAATAGATTTTAAATACCGCGTTTAAGTTTTTTCCTTTTGTATATGTAGAATACAAAAGCGAGATAAGAACACGTCTTCATGAAGAAGTCAAGTGTGACTTTGCTGGCAAGCCTGGGCGTCACGTGAGCAAAGCTCCCGAAAATGGTGTTCTACTTATACCCTTTCCTAGTCGCTTTTATGAATGTGGCCATAGCATGTCCGTTACGGTCTGCTGAGTTTATGTACACTCCTGGGGATCTACAGGAAATATGCAATTCCATAATTGCCAATCTTTTAACACGTTTATTTATTTTTTAATCGACTATCGTAAATTGCAAACAGTCAATATGCTGTATGATCCAGGGACCCTTATTACGAATGCCAGGGTTTGGTCATTCAGACTGGTTTATTTAGACATGTATAACGTAACGTCGAGAAATTGGCGATCGTGACAGGTATTTGTTTGGCTAACACAGGTAGATTTCTCGGACAGTTGAAGAAAATCATTATAGATCTAGTTTCGAATAAAACGTTATAATGGTTTTAAAACATCCGTTTGATTTAAACATATTTAATTCCAAATAAATAGTTACAAAATAATTGGACATAAGTATTCACAACTAATCACAGTATTTTTCTTCAAAATACATCATAAATACAAGCAATAAATCGATAGGACAATTTACGCAACTTATTGAGAGAGAGAGAGAGAGAGAGAGAGAGAGAGAGAGAGAGAGAGAGAGAGAGAGAGAGAGAGAGAGAGAGAGAGAGAGTAGCTCTTAAAATAATGCAGAATTAGTTAGGTGACGTAGACTTCGATAGGAGGGAAAGAAAACAAAATTACAAAAATTCCATGCTAAGATGTCCTAGAATGAGAAAATAATCCTCTAATATTATGACTTACCTCCACCGTTCTTGTAACAAAGGTATGGAAACCTCCAGACATTTCCGAATCCGACAGAGAAGCCAACACATGCCAGAAGAAAATCAACTCTTGTTGACCATTTCTCACGTTTGTGTAATCCTTTATCAGTTACTCCTGTTTCTGTAAGGAAAGTGTTGCTTTCTTCGATCGATACCACATCTTTTTCTTCGTTACACATCGACCCCATGACTTTGAACCCTGAAAAATTGTGTATAAGAAGGTATATATGTGGAGAAACGGAGACAGATCATTAATCTACACTATACCTGGGTTTTATTGCAGTGCGGTCCATGTGAATGAAATGTATGGAAGGGCAGTAGCTCCATAATTAGGTTCAGCTATTTCCGTGACTAATCCAGCGCTGTTATGATTTGCACTGCTTTACTTTTTCGTTTTGCACACAATTCCACCAATGTTTATAATAAAAACGCTCATTGTTGTGAAACCAAAAAAGTCCAAATGTTTATAAGGCGAAGGTCTCCAACTTTATCTAGATACATAAATGCTGCGATGGCCGATATTATCCAGATATACGGATTTCCCACAATACTCGAATTCGGATATCTGGATTTATCACAATGCTCGAATTCGGATATCTGGATTTATCACAATGCTCGAATTCGGATATCTGGATTTATCACAATGCTCGAATTCGGATATCTGGATTTATCACAATGCTCGAATTCGGATATCTGGATTTACCACAATGCTCGAATTCGGATATCTGGATTTCCCACAATGCTGGAATTCGGATATCTAGATTTACTATTTTGAGCTAACATACTGAGAGAAAAAAATATTCATTGTTCATATGCTATAAGATATATGAACATTTCAGGTATGTAGCCTCTTCTACCTTCACGAAGCTCTTGTTTCACAAACTCATTCACTTGAAGCACTGATCCAGGATTGAGGTAAACATCTCGAGGCTAGAATAACCTCTTGTTATATTTTTATTAATGGTACAGGGAAAAACAAGAAAAGAAACAACAGTTATTGTTTCTTACAGATTGTCACTTCTCCTTTGTGCCTTGATTACATATATACAACGACATCCGGTGTTATGTTCCCTAGTTCATAATGGACACCTACGGAATATATTTTTGGAAGTCATCCAGTTGTGATGAACATAAATAAACACAATTTTACCTGTAAAGTTAAGAATATGTAATTTATGTACGAAAAGATATACTTTTGTTTATATATATATATACATATAGAAAGGTATAGAAAACGTAATTATAATAAAAATGTTGACATTTGTGAGTATAACACTAGGTAGTTTATAGGGTCACATATCAACACATATCAACTTCATGTCTGAACCTTTCCTTAATTCGGAAGAATATCAAAGCCAGCTCAGGTGAAGCTCCGGTCTGTGTTTTGTTCCATGTTAGGTGATGTATGGGTGAAGGGAAGGGGTTGTGTTGTTACGTAATGGGTTGTGTCCTTGATCAATACATTTAAAACCGACAGATTTAGAAAGCATGCTCCAGACCATCTTCACAGTGAGGTGGTCCCCAGCCACTACATACAGACAACTCATCAAAGTGTCCTCCTATGTTCCAAGAACGAAACACCCGGAAATAATCCTGACGAATTACGTATAGGATTCTCGACAACAAATTAACGTTAATTACAGGCAATCCAAGAGATAATCGACCTTGTATGATGAACTGCTGATATATTTATATATCACGTGACAATCGACTCTACAAGATGAACTGCTGATATATTTATATACCACGTGACAATCGACTCTACACGATGAACTACTGGTATATTTATATACTACGTGACAATCGACTGAACTACACGATGATACATCACGTGACAATCGTATATTCTGATATATATACATTACGTGAAAATCGATCCTACATGATGAACTACTGGTATATTTATATACCACGTGACAATCGACTCTACATGGTGAACTACTGATATATTTATATACCACGTGACAATCGACTCTACATGATGAACTACTGGTATATTTATATACCACGTGACAATCGATCCTACATGATGAACTACTGGTATATTTATATACCACGTGACAATCGATCCTACATGATGAACTACTGGTATATTTATATATCACGTGACAATCGACTCTACATGATGAACTACTGGTATATTTATATATCACGTGAAAATCGACTCTACATGATGAACTACTGGTATATTTATATACCACGTGACAATCGATCCTACATAATGAACTACTGGTATATTTATATATCACGTGACAATCGACTCTACATGATGAACTACTGGTATATTTATATACCACGTGACAATCGATCCTACATGATGAACTACTGGTATATTTATATATCACGTGACAATCGACTCTACATGATGAACTACTGGTATATTTATATATCACGTGACAATCGATCCTAAATGTGTTGGTATATATATATGTTTCTACATGATGAACTACTGGTATATTTATATACCACGTGACAATCGATCCTACATGGTGAACTACTGGTATATTTATATACCATGTGACAATCGATCCTACATGATGAACTACTGGTATATTTATATACCACGTGACAATCGATCCTACATGATGAACTACTGGTATATTTATATACCACGTTCTAATCGACTCTACACGATGAACTACTGGTATATTTATATACCACGTGACAATCGATCCTACATGATGAACTACTGGTATATTTATATACCACGTGACAATCGACTCTACACGATGAACTACTGGTATATTTATATACCACGTGACAATCGATCCTACATGATGAACTACTGGTATATTTATATACCATGTGACAATCAATCCTACATGATGAACTACTGGTATATTTATATACCACGTGACAATCGACTCTACATGATGAACTACTGGTATATTTATATATCACGTGACAATCGATCCTACATGATGAACTACTGGTATATTTATATACCACGTGACAATCGATCCTACATGGTGAACTACTGATATATTTATATATCACGTGACAATCGATCCTACATGATGAACTACTGGTATATTTATATATCTCGTGACAATCGACTCAAGAGATTATAATGAATCGTAAATGTGTTATATTTGTTTTATCATATTATTTATGATATAGGTAGGTAGGTAGGTAGGTAGGTAGGTAGGTAGGTAGGTAGGTAGGTAGGTAGGTAGGTAGGTAGGTAGGTTGGTAGGTAGATAGGTAGGTAGGTTGGTAGGTAGTAGCTAGGTAGGTAGCGAGGTAGGTAGGTAGGTTGGTAGGTAAGGTAGGTAGGTAGATAAATAGTAGGTAGTAGGTAGGTAGGTAGGCAGGTTGGTAGGTAGGTAAGTAGTTGGTAGTAGGTAGGTACGTAGGTAGGTAGTTAGGTAGGTAGGTAGGTAAGTAGTAGGTAGGTAAGTAGTGGGTAGTAGGTAGGTTGGTTGGTGGGTAGATAGGTAGGTAGGTTGGTAGGTAGTAGCTAGGTAGGCAGCGAGGTAGGTAGGTGGGTAGGCAGGTAAGGTAGGTAGGTAGGTAAGGTGGGTAGATAAATAGTAGGTAGTAGGTAGGTAGGTAGGTAGGTAAGTAGTAGGTAGGTAGGTTGGTAGGTAGGTAGGTAGGTAAGGTAGCTAGGAAGGTAGCGCGGTAGGTAGGTAGGTAAGTAATAGGTAGTAGGTAGGTAGGTGGGTAGGTAGGTGAGGTAGGTAGGTAAGGTAGGTAGATAAATAGTAGGAAGGTAGGTAGGTAGGCAGGTAAGTAGTAGGTAGTAGGTAGGTAGGTAGATAAGGTAGCTAGGTAGGTAGCGAGGTAGGTAGGTAAGTAGTAGGTAGGTATACGACTATTTTGTATTCTTGTTTTTATTGATTTTGTTTAGCAATGAAAAAATAACCGAACATATGTTGTTTGATCATTTATCTTCTACAAATGTAGATATAGATTATTATATGTTAGTATACAGTATTAGACTTCTCTACAAGAAATAATGCATATGTATGTTTGTTTATATCGTGTGGAGTAGCCGGACCTGTTGAAACACCTGTCATACCATACATCTAAAATAACTTCATCACTTTAATTAACATAAATTACCAGTGATAAATACCATTACAGACACCTAAAATAACTTAAATATCACTTTAATTAACATGTATTCCCTGTGATAAATTCTGCATATATTTAGAACGTAGGCGTTCACGATATTATTCACATTTTAAAGTTCTATAGAGTCACATTTTTATAGTTTTAAAAAGTTTTTTTTGTAAACCTATCAGATAGATACGTTTACAAATATCTAGTTCGTCAGATATAAAACTCGGTTACTAGTTTACAGTTTCGTACCGCTCCAACACCACTGGAAAGATCAGGTACAGGTTAGAGTGAGTTTTATACATCGGTTCACCTTGGAAATTCTCAAGTTTCTCTTCCAAGCCCTTTCCTTTGATTTATGTTGATTTCCCCTCCAACTGATGAAGTTTAGATCAATATCAGTTAAGACATCACTGGTATTAACCTGTTAAGACATCACTGGTATTAACCCGTTAAGACATCACTGGTATTAACCCGTAAAGACATCACTGGTATTAACCTGTAAAGACATCACTGGTATTAACCCGTTAAGACATCACTGGTATTAACCTGTAAAGACATCACTGGTATTAACCCGTTAAGACATCACTGGTATTAACCTGGAAAGACATCACTGTTATTAACCTGTAAGGGCATCACTAGAATTAACCTGTTAAGACATCACTAGAATTAACAGGTAAAGACATCACTGGTATTAACCTGTTAAGACATCACTGGTATTAACCCGTTAAGACATCACTGGTATTAACCTGTAAGGGCATCACTAGAATTAACCTGTTAAGACATCACTAGAATTAACAGGTAAAGACATCACTGGTATTAACCCGTAAAGACATCACTGGTATTAACCTGTTAAGACATCACTGGTATTAACCCGTTAAGACATCACTGGTATTAACCCGTTAAGACATCACTGGTATTAACCCGTTAAGACATCACTGGTATTAACCCGTTAAGACATCACTGGTATTAACCCGTTAAGACATCACTGGTATTAACCCGTTAAGACATCACTGGTATTAACCTGTAAAGGCATCACTGGTTGGTATTGCCACAACCTGACTATTTTAAGAATAGTGATACCTATTTTTCCGAAGAGTTGAAATAAGAGAAACCGAGGAACTGACTTTACCTCCTGTTGAG